AATAACCTGAGGCTAACAACAGAGCTATCATTCTGATCCAAAAATGGCCGAGGACATGCCTTTGGGAAGCCAAAAGATGAATGCAATAGTTGTAATGGTATGTGGGAAACACCTTGATGAGCCGAAACCAAGAATCTCACTCTTGGTAATGGGGACTGTAAGGGTGTTTAGGACTTGAAATTCTGGTTTTAAAAATGGCACCAGCTTGGTATTTATGTCTATAAAGGCTCACTTGACATGGCACCTAAAGGATGAATATGGGAATGAGCTTTACAGATTTTCAAAGTGGGATGGCATATGTATATTGGCTGAGCAAAAGCCTTGGTTAAGATTGCAATAGTTGTGAAGGACAATAAGGCATTTTTCCAAAGAAAGATAAGGAAATTGGTCCCTCTTTTTTAGATCAAACAAAAATTAGAAGGTGTAATAAATATTCAGAAATTCATGTGGATAGATTGTTATTCAGTTTTAATTTAATGTACATATTATTTCTTTTAGCCCAAACCTATGTACCCAGAGCAATTTTGGTGGACTTGGAACCTGGAACCATGGATAGTGTTCGATCTGGTCCTTTTGGACAACTCTTTCGGCCTGATAATTTTATCTTTGGTATGTTGACGATATTCTGTTACAAAAAGAAAACTTCCCAAGGACAATGCGTTTAATGCATGCATTAGACAATGCTTATGTATCCTTGCACCTTTGGCGGGTTCCTCCCATTTCACGTTAACTCCAAAGGTAACAAAACTTCATACAGGTAGCCAATGCATTTTTCTATAGCAACGGCTGATGAATCTTGAATTTTTAGTAAAAGACAAAAAACATGAGAACTGGCAAACCTATCCATCTTGGCATTAATGGGTGTGAATGAAATTCCTGTGTTGTAGTGTCAGCATACCACAATGTACATGAATGTAAAATTATATGAAGCATTTCTAAGAATGTTTTGGCTATTACTTGGCAGCTAGAGTTCCCAATATATGCCAACACTTGAAACATTTAAATTTATATAGATTTTGGAATGGTGAAGATTCATCACTATAGATATTTTGAGTCTATTTCACGACTTGGTAAATCTGACCTTTTTTCCTTTTCAGGACAAACGGGTGCTGGAAATAACTGGGCCAAAGGACATTATACCGAAGGAGCAGAACTTGTAGATTCAGTGCTCGATATTGTGAGAAAAGAATGTGAACACTGTGATTGTTTGCAAGGATTTCAGCTCACTCATTCTCTTGGAGGAGGAACAGGTTCTGGGATGGGAACACTTCTCATCAGCAAAATTCGAGAGGAATATCCTGATAGGATAATGAATACATTTAGTGTCATGCCATCTCCCAAAGTGTCTGACACTGTGGTAGAACCATATAATGCCACTCTCTCAGTCCATCAGCTGGTTGAAAATACAGATGAAACCTACTGTATTGATAACGAAGCACTGTATGATATTTGCTTCCGTACTTTGAAGCTTACCACGCCAACATATGGAGATCTCAACCACTTGGTGTCTGCTACAATGAGTGGGGTCACAACATCACTGCGTTTTCCTGGCCAACTAAATGCAGATTTACGCAAGTTGGCAGTAAATATGGTTCCATTCCCACGCTTGCACTTCTTTATGCCTGGATTTGCTCCTTTGACTGCCCGAGGCAGCCAGCAGTACCGAGCTCTTACAGTCCCAGAGCTCACTCAGCAAATGTTTGATGCCAAAAACATGATGGCAGCCTGTGATCCAAGACATGGGCGATATCTGACAGTGGCCACAGTCTTCCGAGGCCCCATGTCCATGAAAGAAGTTGATGAACAGATGCTCGCTATCCAGAACAAGAACAGTAGCTACTTTGTAGAATGGATCCCAAATAATGTCAAAGTGGCTGTTTGTGATATAGCACCTCGTGGCCTCAAGATGGCCTCCACCTTTATTGGAAACAGCACTGCCATTCAAGAACTCTTCAAAAGAATTTCAGAGCAGTTCTCTGCCATGTTTAGGAGAAAGGCTTTTCTTCACTGGTTTACTGGTGAAGGTATGGATGAGATGGAATTTACAGAAGCAGAAAGCAACATGAACGATCTCGTTTCTGAGTATCAACAGTACCAAGAAGCAACAGCAAACGATGGAGAGGAAGCATTTGAAGATGATGAGGAAGAAGTTAATGAATAAAGTTAATACAATTCTCAAGTCTGAAGTGTTTGCTTTAGTGCTAACCATTTGCATAACATTAAGAATATCATAGAGCTTAATTTTCAAAGGATTAATTTAGCCATTTTCTTTAGAATGGATCGTTAATGCTTTGCATCAAAGGTAAAGCTAAGATTTCCCAATTTATTGACTTGCTCAATGGGGCTGTGAGAGCCAAGACTTTAATGCAAAAAATAAATAAATAAAATAAAAATTGGGCCCAAATTCTATAGAATGAACATTATCTCTCCCATATTTACTAGGTTGGCTGAATCTATTTTGAAACAGTAAAATTCAAGTCTTGTCTATTTAAAAGTAGTCATAAACCTATTAAGTCTTGTTTATAAATTACATAGCTAACCCAGTTATATAATAGGTTATGAGTGCACGTCTTTTGATTTGGTATTAGTGCACATAAAAGTTATACTGAAATAAGTAATTGTATCCAGCTTCCTGAAAGAAATGTAGATTTTTCTTTTAAGAAATAATACATATTCTTCCCATACCCAACTGAAACAATTTACACCGCAATCCTATGCATGGTTACTTGAAAGTAAATATTTCTTATTCTAAATGGAATTTTTTATCCAAGTAAATGTGTTTCAGAATTGCAGTGTTATGTCTTTGTTCTCTTTTACCATGTATTGATTTGTTGGGAACAAACTCCATTAATTAAAAATAATTTTAAAATATAATTTAGCCTTATGTATATTCCATATTTATAAATTAATGCTTCAACATCGGTGTTTTGGAATTGTTAAAGTAACCTCTGAGGAAGTGGATGATTATTTTGGAAACTGAAGCTTTAAATTTCATAATACAAAGGAGGCATACTCTAAGGCTGCAGATCCATATGTACCTATTTAGTTCCCAGAATTCTTCCAAACGTTACAAATTTTCCACTTTACATGTGATAGAAAGCATTAGAAACATCCTATATGGTGTAACTTACAGTAAATGTAATTTTGTTACATTAAAATGTAAATTAATTCCCATGTTCTCTTTCTGGCTCCAGCAACTTTGCCTTTAGCTCCACCTACCTATTTGTAGTGCTAGCAACCAGGGCACCAGTTATTCTCTTGGGTAATCCCCATCATGTGGACGGACCAGACATGTCTGACTAGATGTCAGCACATTCCATAAGAATGCCAGTCTACTTCACTAGCTGCCACATTAGATTTTCCTCAATGCTATGCCTGACCTATGCTGACTTTGGACATTTTGGATTATACAGTATGACATTTAACCAGCATCAAGTGAAACAAAGTACTTTCCAGCTGAACTCCCATTCCTGGCTGCAAAGAAGTATCTCCCAAGTGTGTGCATATGAAATAGCTACTATAGCAGTATTGGCAAACCTTTTAGTGACTGAGTGCCCAAACCGCAACCCAAAACCCACTTATTTATCGCAAAGTGCCAGGGCCGCATCAGCATTGTGGTGCCCTCAGGGGGGGCATGGTGTGGCCCACTGGGTGGGCATGACTGCGGTTGTCACGGCAGACTGGGTGGGCGTGGTTGGGGTGGGCATGGCCACTTCGATGTTGTTCATGGAGGGGATGCCTGCAGGGGCCAGGCAGGGTTGGGGGAGATCCAGGGGGTCTCTGGTAGGTGGGGCAGTGGGGAAGAGGCACACAATCCTAGCTGGGACTGGGGGGTCATGGCACCAACGGGGATCCGGCTTTTCTTGCTCGGGGTGGCCTTTGGCTTGCTGGGTGTGGGTGTGCTCTACCACCTCTACTCAATCTTGCTAGCTGGCCGCTTCGCCTTTGTGCCTGGTCGGGCTGCTCTGGGTGGCGGCGGCAGCCTAATGGACCTGTGCAAGCTGCTGGCAGCGGTGGTGTGCGTGCCCACAGAGAGGGCTCTGAGTGCCGGCTCTGGCACGTGTGCCATAGGTTTGCCACCAATGTACTATAGAAACTTAATGATTCATAGGATGAAGACTGGGTTTCTCTCATATCTTTTATTAGCTATCTAGCCTTTTCAATCCTTGCTGCTTGTGCTAGCTCTCATCACAATCCAGATAATGTGCCATTAGTGATTTAATTTTTAATATTTTCTTTAACAGGCTCCAACATGAAACTTTTTTTTAGTATAGCCACAAAGTGGGCTGGATTTTTCATGGGTCTATTTTCCACAATCTTACTATCCTTGCTTTGACACAGGAAGTTCATAATGTACTGTGAAGCTACAGATTTTGCCCCAATGTTCTTCCTTTGCTTCTATTACCTACTGTTCGTTGCTTTTTAGTTTGATGTTTTGGGAACACGCCTCCCTTCCCTTCTCTTTTTACTGACTTAGATACTTTTGCAGCAGTAGCAGTCATACCTGCTTCTTGCTTAATACCAGGTAATTTATGAGCAAGTTAAATGACCTTTCTTAGCAGAGATCCCCATTTTTTTTTCATTATTAGCTGGTCAATTTTCATTCTATTCTTATCTAATTACTAATTTATAATAGGAACTCCAGCTTACTCTTTTTCTTGTGCCCTTTGCTAATAACAAATGGTCCATCCATCCTTCCTTTCTTGTGCTATCTATCTCTGTTCTGAACAGGAAGATCAGTATCGTGTGTGTGTATGAGCTCATATGACTTTAGATAATAGTATAGACAGACTACTTGATGTTATTTTTCATGTTAGTTTACTAGATAGTACATGGTGAATTCTGATTTTTCTCATTTCATTGCCACACTTTATCAATATGTCTATGGGACCCCTAGTCTCCTTCAAAAAGCCACCATGTAATCTTTCATGTTTGTAGTTATTAGAAATCTAACAACTGGTTGTATGGTTTCATTACTGGTCCAAGGATCCAAGAGAATCTGCCTGTTTGCACAGTCCAGTGTGCTTATTTTATTTAATGTTTCTAAACTATATTTACAAAATACATTCGTATGCTCAGTATTTTACAATCTCATGTAAAAAAAAATCCACACTTTATTAAAATTGCAGTAATATAATTTAGATTTTACACTTCATTGTAGCCACAGACCCATCTCTCTAATGAATTACCAGGTTTCCAGTTTGATCACCGATACCTGCAGGGTCTTTTTATTGGACAACAAAGTAAAGAAATAAATTCAAATTGGTGGCTGAAACCTATGTGCTTCATCAAAACAAACATATGATAAGCCATGTGGGATTCCCAGGAAATACTCTATGACCAAAACCAATAATTTCAGGATATTAACAACTCACATTTGGTAGAGGTGATCAAAAAATAGAAAATGTTTTCTGGTGTTCTGGGAAGTTGTACATTCTAGGGCAGTTTAAATATATCAGTGTACACAACTCTAATAACAGATCTGAATTGCTGCAATTCTAGAAGAAATTCAATGTAGACCGATTAGTTCTAAGAACTATACTTTTTAATCAGGGATTCTGGGAAACAGCTTCCTGTGGATTCTGAATACTCTGTAGAGGGAAATACCCATCCTCCTAGTTCATCAGCCATGGCAGGCTTGTTCCATAAAGCAGAGGATACTTGGGCACCAGATTTTTGAAGTGTTTCCCCTTTACTTTTCAGTGCGCAACTTAACACTGTGTCACTTTTATGTACAACACCATCATACTGCAACACTAAAAAGGTACGTGTCCTCTGATTTGCCTGGCAATTCCCTCATCTGTTGCCTCTTCTTTCTCCTCACGCTCTTTGTTCCAGTCTTTAAGGCCTTCTGGAAGTGAAGTATCTTCATCTAAGCTGCCCGTGCCTTCAACAAATTCTTCATAGGTAGATTTTTCAGCAAAAGGTCGGGGGCCAAGCATTTCAACCATATCACTCTTATCCAAAACCTCCCTCTCCAAGAGCCTTAAAGCCACCTGAAACAATAGGCACACATGTATTACAAGGAAGTTCAGCCGCTAATTGTTCATTCCACAATCCTAATATGGTATGTATGGATAAAAACAAAAATTCAAGATTTTTAAAACCGTTAACCTCTGCTGAATATGTTCTGAGCACATTACAGTACTATTTATTACAATGTCTTCCAGGTAAGAATATACAGGATGAACTCTGCATCTCTGTATCCCTGCATTTCAAGCTTTCAAAAAACAAAATGCATAACTTTTGCTCTGTTATGACTAAAACACCATCATTTATACTAATTAGATGTCCGGAAATAACATTTCTGCTGCTGTCAAAAGCTTTTGGGCAATGATTATGGTTATTTTTGTATAACTGTACCTTTGAACAAATAATATGATATATTCAATAGATACTGATCTTTCTGATACACAGAATGTGGTGAAACTCTTAATCCCTAATTTTATATTGGAGGTAGGCAATTTTCATTTGTTTCTGTTCTTGTAGCTGCACTCTTAAATAATAATTCTTGGGAACCAGGTAATGTTGGTATTTGGAAGGAAAAAGGAACTGGAAAAAAGGATTGTCTCAGTTTCTTTGATCAACTAGAACAGGGTCTTCAAACTTGGCCCTTTTATGACTTGTGGACTTCAACTCCCAGAATTCCTCAGCCAGGCACACTGGCTAAGGAATTCTGGGAGTTGAAGTCCACAAGTCATAAAAGGGCCAAGTCTGAAGCCCCCTGAACTAGAAGGAACCCTTATGTTCTCAGAAAATCAGGTTTGGACCCAATGATCTTTTACCCTACCTAGATAAGAATCTTATGCCCCTCCTGATAACAGCAGGACAAGAATGCATACCTTTTCTACCTCAGCCTTCTTTTCAGTAAGTAGAGATAGTGTCCTTTCATAAGCTTCATTAATAAGTATTCGCACTTCATCATCTATCAATCTTGCAGTTGCTTCACTGTAGGGTTTTTCTAACACCATGTCTCCTTGCCGGGGAAGATCAAATGAAATTTGCCCAACTTTTTCATTCATTCCAAACTGAACAATCTGAGGATTAAACAGCAGAGTAGTTATGCAATTTCTACAACACTTAATCAAGAATCAAATATTAGTGGGTAGCTGTTTTCAGCGATACAGTAGCAATTTAGCTGACAAGCTGACCATTAACTGTTCATATGTTACTATGAAGTTGGCTTCTGGGCTGTTCTGGGCAAGAACAGAATAAAAGTTCCAGTGAGAACCTCTGCCAGGATATTGCTGGCCAGAAGCCAGGTTCTGACTTTTGAAAATCTTTCAGGAAGAAGGAGACATCATTCGGGATTGCCCATCTGCACTCTGGAAAAGCTGCTCCTCATGAAGAGACCACAGGAATTGAGTTTCTTGATCTGTGATCCACTGAGAATTGAGCAGCTTGGGAGCAAGGGGATTTAAAATACACCCTTAAGTACAGAATTAATGTTCATTTAATCAGCAAAAGCTTCACTTTCTTAATCATTTTAAGAAAGAGACATTGCAAACGGTGGTAAAGATCAAAGACTCCCTGGATCAGGATTAAGATCAGACAATCAAGCAGAACAATATCTTAATCAAGGAACTACCAACTCAAACAAACAATCAAGCAATAAACAATAGCTTAATCAAGGAGAAAACAACACCCCCACCAACACTGAAAAGCTACTATAAAATAAAGAGCAAACCTCACCCCCTTAAGCACTGAAGATACTACCTAGTTAGGTAATAAAATGTCTGCAAGCAAACAACCAAGCTCAGAGAACACCAAGGATGCCACAGTTCAACCCTGAGCTACATATAGTTTCTTCTTGAGGCGAGGCTGCCTAGATGTGATGAGGGCCAACAGTTAAGTGCCACTGGACCATAAGTCTTGCACTTGTATGGCGCCTTCTGCCAAATGCTTCTTTCCTAGGCTATCCAATGTTTCACCCCTTTCACGTTTCTTCTGATGAAATAACTGCAAACTCCCAAGAATCGATGGACTCGAATATGGCCTTTCAAAACAGTTCTTGGGCCATTTGTTGAGCCATCCCATCTTCCTGGCTTCAGAGAGGAGGGGGAGGAAAAAAGAAGCAGACCACCATTTGTCATTTCACAGAAAAAAAAACCAGGCTTCCAATGCTGATGTTCCTTATTCCCTACCTTGAATTTATACTTGCACTTAATTCCATTGGTCCACCTTGTGACTGGGGCTCCTTGTTCTAACTACAGCTCCTCAATTCTGGCACAACAAAAAAAAACATTCTCTGCCCGCTACATTGTCCTGCCTTTTGTTCCTTTTATTCTTCCCTTATCTTCAGTCTGAGACGAAACACTGAGGGAAAATAGCCCTTCTTTTTCTGGCAAAGGCAGAGCTAGGGCTGAGGACAGACATCCTTCACTAGATGGAACAAAACCTAAGCCATATATAAGCAATCCTTGACATGTGGCTATTATGGACCTTGCCCATTATGCTCATATGTCGGATGGCTGTAAAATGAGTCAGTCACATGGCCAATCCAATTTTTATGACATTTTTGCATTATCGTTAAGCAAACACCATAGTTGTAAAATGAACCCCATGGTTGCCAAGCCGCTCAATGGTTCGCTATGGGCATGCTTTTACCAAACATCAGAAGTGCTGGTTTTCAGCAAAACTATCATAAAAGACAGAGATATGATCGGTGTACGTGCAAATGGCCACAAATGCAGCCGTGTTGCCAGTACATAAAATTCTATCATGTAACTACAGAGCAAGTTCACCACTGGAACTTTGGATCCAAGTCATAAGTCTTCTTTTTTAGGTCTGTTGTTAACTTTGAACAGTTGCTAACCAACCAGCTGTAAGTTGAGGACTCCAACATAAAGTTAACAGTGTTGCATAAAACGTGGAGAGATTTTTCTTTGTATTTCACAATGTTAGTACTAATGAACATTCCCTATATTTCAGAAGATTCAAGAGCAGTTAAAAATACTGCTTTGCAAAAAGCATGTGAATTAATGAATTTACTACCATTAGATAGCACGACAGCCACCAATTTAAACAGCTTAAAAATTATTAGGAAAATTCATGGATTACGATCACTCTCAACAGACCAGATAATTTTATTGTACCTGCTAAAACAATCGCAGGATACTTTAAATATTAGTTTTTAGGGAGTAACAGTTTGAGAGGTATTACTTTTGCCCTTTGATTCTGTAATGTACCGCATGAACCATTTGTGATGTGGAATACCGGATTAGATAATCTTCACCTGATCCATAATGGCTTTTCTTATATTCCAAAGGAACGTGGTCTTTTAAATATGGATACTAGTCATTCTACTGAAATATTACTATTAAATCATTGTAATTTAATAGTTAGAATGGAACTTACACATACCTATTAAAATTAAACATTTAAACTAATTGCATCAAATTTTGTAACAGAAGTATTCAGTAGAAATTAGGGATATCATAATTATTTAGTTATTAAATCAATAATACAGGCACTAGAACAGTGTTTCTCAACCTTGACAATTTTAAGGCATGTGGACTTCAACTCCCAGAATTCCACAGCCAGCAACGCTGGCTGTGGAATTCTGGGAGTTGAAGTCCACATGCCTTAAAATTGTCAAGGTTGAGAAACACTGCAGTGTTACTAGGAGACCCGAGCATTTCAGCATAAGTCTCTAATTCTCCTGATTGCAGTTTATGTCAGTAGCCTAAAAGCCATTTAATCAAAATTATAAAGTGCTTTGGACAAGGCAGGATGATAAAATGTAAATGACCAAATAGGATTTTTAACTTTTGCACGAAGAAACAGATTTCTGGGATATTTTGGGAAGAAAGCAAACTCTCTTTCAGCCTGCTTTTAGCAGATTTCTGATGAAAGTTTGAGGAAAACTGTGGTATTGTCAGAAGATATTAAGAGGAAATAGTATGCAGAAGCAAAATTCTTGCCAGGCAAGATTTCTACGAAGGTGGTGAAACACCAAGTAAAAATACAGACCTGAGCATATGCACTCTGAGTAACTTTCTTTAAGTCATCTTGGGCCCCTGTTGTAATTCTGCCAAAGAAGATTTGTTCTGACACACGTCCTCCCAAAGTCATACACATTCTGTCCATAAGCTGTTCTTTGGTGTACAGATACTGTTCTTTCGGCAAATACTGAGCATAGCCCAGTCCTTTCCCACGAGGAATAATAGATACCTTGTGTCAGAAGAGAAATAAAAGTATTTTTATAACCAACCAACCAACCAACCAACAAATAAACAAGCAAACAGTAGCTTATAACAAATCTATATTTCATATGATGGCTATCTCTGCAAAGACACTTTTAAATAAGAAATATGTAGGACATGACTTTTAAAGTTGATTTAATAACTTTCCATTCTATATGAAATAGACAGATGATTAATTCAAGGCATCCTGGTTTGAAAGCCCGCACTGCAAAGGGAGATGCCAAGGAGATACATAAAAGGCTCACCTATAATTTATCTCAACTGAGAAGCAATCCTTCCAAAGAACTTCTGTGCCACAAGTCAACATACCTTCAGAAGTGGATCAGCGTGTTCCAGAAACCATCCAGCAACTGCATGGCCAGCTTCATGATATGCAACTGTTTTTTTTTCTTCTGGTTGCAATACTTGTGTTTTCTTTTCCAGGCCTTTGATTGATTAAATAAATAAGTATTCAATTAGTGTATCAATTTCTGTGCAGCATATTTCTCAGCTGCTGTGCCAATGAGGGGCTAACAAGAAAACATGATACTAGTAGATAATTTTTCTGTTCTCTCTCTGCATGAGTGAGAAATTACTACAAGAGGAAGAAGAAAAAATATTTTTAGGCAGAAGCCACATTGGCTCCTACGTACTATTTTCAAGTAAGAAGCAAAATATCATTCTTGCTTCATAGCAGAGATGCCAAAAAAAACCAGATTGCCAGCCAAAGTAAAGTTTTATGGCCACCAAAGCTGCCTGCATAGGTGGGGTTAAATAAATAAGATTCTGTTTTTTTTTTGCAGTTTAAGGGTTACAGATGAATGGGCAAAACAGGTGCCTTAAACCTTACGAATGGTTAAGGCACCTGTCTCATCTGTTTAAAACGCCCGCCCCCTGCCACTGGGATGTAACTTTCACTGGGGGCATCTAATGAAAGAGGAGCTCTTACTGCATTAGGGGAGCAAAATGCCATTTGACAAGCAAAATTTTGAGTGTCATGTTTTTGTCATTTTTTTAAAAAGTTTTTATTCCATCCTCCATCCCTGTAAATTATTCTATGGACACTGCACAGATGCTCATGGCATCCATGTGTTACATAAAGCCTATCACTCTCCATATACTAATGAAAGTATTTGCCAAACAAGCAACATTAGAACATAAATAAGAGAACCAACTGATAACAGCGCCAATAATGTAATCCTCCTCACCTCCTATCACTCTTTCAATAGCTTGCTCAAAATGCTTTTGATTTATGGCATCTGCAAGATGTCTTGCAGCAATTAAGGCAGCTTCATTGCATACATTAGCTATATCCGCACCTAAAGGAAAGAAGGCATAAGAGACACATAACTCCAGGTTATTTCCAATTTTTTTTTATCATTTACCACAAGGAGGATACTTTGAAATTTTATATCTCAGTGGCTAATGTTTCCACCGAAATAAATGCCACTCCTGGAAAAATCAAACTCCAAATAAATTTTGAGTCAATGATTTAAAGATTATCTGTTCAGAATCAGGGCAAATAGCTAATATGCTCATAAAGAATCCATTCAGTATACCTAAATAACTGGGACCTGAGTTAAAAGAAAAATTATTTGCCAAGCTCCAGAAAATGATTTTCGGTATGCTGAGGGCTAACCTTATTTTGTTATTGACTTTTTTCTTTGAGGATCACCATACCATCTTCAAACTCCTTCACCCAAAATAATTTTGGCATGTGACTTCAGGAAGACTAAAACCAAAGTCTTCTTAATATAAGTATTAATTCAGTAAATGATATTATAATGCAATGTATTAAAAATGCATTCATTATTACATAGGATTATCTACCTGAAAATCCAGGGGTTAATGATGCAAGTTTCCGTGCTAAATTATCTTTATTCATGGTAGTATCCAACTTAAGAGGCCTCAGGTGAACTTTGAAAATAGATGCTCTTCCTTTTATATCTGGTGGCCCTTGGGAAGTTTAAAAAAATATTTTTTAAAATACATTGTTTACAAATATTTCAAACATGTATACTTTTTATAAAGGCCAATAGGCTCTAATTACTCCATCTGTCTCATCTTCCATGTACAAAGAGTATCCAATCTGAGATTCTTTTACATACGCACGTTAAGTTTGCTAAGATGCTCCAGGAAAATAAGAATTCCACCTCATTTCCTCTCTGTGTAATACTGTTTAATATCTTTACAAGACCAATATGGGGAACTGCTTACCAATGAAGATCTGTCTATCAAAACGACCTGGCCTCAAAAGGGCAGGATCCAGGATATCTGGTCTATTGGTGCCTGCCAAAACGACAACATTTGTTGTGGTGTTAAAACCTGTGAATGAAACGTAATATTTAGTAATCATTGATTATTGCAAATATATTATTTTCCAAAATAGACCAACAAATTATGTTTTGACTCCTAATTATTCAGAAAAGCCATAAAGAGGCAAAAATGCATGTAAGCTATATTAAACTGAAAATGTGGGAACTGTGCTTCAACAAACATTGATGAAAAAAGTGCTTGCAGTGAATTTTAAAAATATTTTTTTCTTATTCCATAGTTCTTTACTGCATTTGCTTTCCAATTCTCAAAGTAAGTTACATGGAAACAGTAGCATTTATTTCCATTTTATCTCTTTAAGACTGTAGTTTTATTTTAAGATGTACCAGAATTACTACAAAATTTAAAGAATTACCATCCATTTCTACTAGGAGTTGATTGAGTGTATTTTCCTGTTCACTTTGCCCTCCAAAGTTACTCCTTCCTCTCTTTCTTCCCACTGCATCTATTTCATCAATGAAGAGAATGCAAGGTGCATTTTTACGAGCCAGAACAAATAAATCACGAACCTTTGCAAGAAAACAGAAAGTATTTTCAATGACTCAGAGCTCTACCCCTTGTTTTTTATTCAACAGAAAGTTACCACAAAGTCATGAAATCAGGAAGATTGTATTGTAGCCAATAAACTAGACATAAAATGCATTTTGTGCAAATTGTAAGATGTTTTAAAATGCAAACAAACATTTCATGCTTGGTTTAAACATAAAATTAAACATAATTTTGTTGCTTGAGAGCCAAATATATAGAAGAACTGGATTGATGAATATATATAGCCAAATATGCCCTGTTCATCCGGATAATATAAAAGGCTATATGAAAGTGCTTATAAACAATGACACTTCAGCAAGCATAGTAAGTACTATACTTCCATCTTAGAAATAACAAAACAATCCACACTTTGTTGCTAGAATATAATAATGCAATAGAATGTAATCTGGGAAAAATACTGCCTAAATCTGTTCAAAAATTTAGTATTAAATTGGTTCTCCCTCATTTCTTATTGATTATGCAACTCTGCATTCAGTTAGTACATTTTCATATATTTAATAACCAAATATATGAAGCAAGGCTATCCTGTACTTAGCTTATTTCACAAGAAACAGAATGTGCATACTCTATTCCAGTGGTGGCAAACCTATGGCAAGCATGCCAGAGGTGGCACTCAGAGCCCTCTCTATGGGCACGCACGCCATGCCCCAAAGATGGCAACTGTCCCTCTTCAACCAGCTGCCCGCTAACTTGCCGAGGTCCCATGTGGCCGGATATATCCCAGCACAGCTGGTTTCCCTCTCCCCCTCCATCTCAGAGGCAGCTTCTCTGAACTGCTGCTGGTGGGCTGCAAAACCCCAGAATGCACCAGTCGAGGGGCCGGCAGACTGTAGTTGCTGATGGACACTGTCAGCCCCCATGCGCTCGCTGGCCTCTGTGTGCGGGGGCCGATGGTGTCAGGCAGCAGCTGCCCCAGCCCTCCTCACCTTGCCCTGCGACCATGGCACCCCTGCCCTGCCTCACCCCGCAGGATGAGCCTCCTGCCTACCGCCCCACCTGCCAGAAACCCCCTGGATTTCCCCCAACCCTGCCCAGCCCCCACAAGCACCCCTCCCCATGAACAACATTGAGGTGACCACACCCACCTTGGCCACACCCACCCAGTATGCCATGACCACCACAGCTATGCATACCCAGTGGGCCATGCCCACCTGCCACCCAACGATAAATAAATGGATCTTGGGTTGCAGTTTGGGCACTGGTCTCTAAAAGGTTCTCCATCACTGCTCTATTGCATTGTTTAAGAAAACTATAAAACAATAATACATACTTGTATAGTGTTATGGAGATAGTAACTTCATAACCTTACTCACTTTTATAGTGTATTTCCCTGGTTACAAATAAAGAATTTGATTTGAACCTAACTGTGCTTTATCTGGTCCTTGTCCACAGTAGCATATTTTGAAGTGAGATTTCAAAATTTGTACATTAATGGAACAAAGGATTCAAAGTAGGACAGTATTCACGGGACAGTTAATAAAAATGTAAATAAGACTAAATTGACATGCAGTGAAAAAAAACATAGTAAAAAGGACTACAGGTAGTCCTCGTACTACGACCACAATTGAGCCCAACATTTATGTTGTTAAATGAGACATTTGTTAAGTGAGTTGCCCCATTTTACTTTCTTGCCATAGTTAAGTGAATCACTGCAATTAAAAGTTAGCAACCCGGTTGTTAAGTGAATCTGGCTTCCCCATTGACTTTGTCAGGTGGCAAAAAGTGATCACATGACATGACCCTGGGACACAGCAACGGTCATAAATATGAACCAGTTGCCAAGCATCTGAAGTTTGATCATATGATCATGGGGATGCTACAAAGGTCTGAACAGTATTATTAAAGCAAATGCCGCAGCTACCAACTCGGAGGAGTCAAGGTTTTGCTTACAAAATGGAAACTGAGGTTGTTGACTGTGCTAGAATCTTAGAGGATAATTTTGTAATTGACCATGACAGGATTTCTCTCTGGTGATCCCTATATACTAGAGCATAACCTGTGTTTCCTGAACTTCATAAGGTTCCAACAGTAATCCTCATTTAACAACTAAAACTGAGCCCAATGTAGGAGTTCTCCCCAACTCCATACCAGAGAAGGACCTTTTCAACCAGTCTCTTTTGAGACTGAAAGAGCTGCCTGCCAAATTGATATGGCCCACGTGGGACAAAGTCCCTCTGCCAAGCAGCTGTTTCGTTCTCAAAGAGACTGGCTGAAAAAGGTCTATCCTGACATCCAAGGGAACTAGCCAGGCGGCAGCAGCTTGAAACGCTCCCCTGCTGATCTTGTAGGCACCTAAGAGACACCTAAGAGATGTGTCTCTTCACTCAGGCTCCCTCTGCACACATCAGATGAACTGTTCTTGTTACTTTTATTTCTGATCTCTATCTTTTTCTACTATCTGATTTTATATCATTTTTAATTTATTGTATGTGTATTTTATGAACTGCACTGATACGGTTTTCTATAAGGTATCAACATAACTTTCCCTAAGTGCTCTTTTTTAGATAGCTCAACTAACCAAATGCTGTTCTTCCAGCCATCAGTCCCTCTACACTTAGCCCATATGCATTACTTGCCTTCTTGTTTAGAGTATACAATATATCAACAATCTTGTTATAATTATTAATTAAAATACTTAATATGATTATACCTCAGAAACAGTCAGAAAACCTCCAAAATAAATTTTCCAGAAACTGAATAGGATATCATTGAGTAAACTCAATTAAAAACTTTTGATAGCTATCATTTGAAAAAGAACTGTAATGTGGATAATAACTAAAGCACAGTGTATTAATAGGGTTTTAGGCTTTCAACATTAACTATGTCCTTTTTAAAATTAATGATACTGCAATAAAAGAGCAAAGTCATAGACTTACTCTAGCAGGGCCCACACCAACAAACATCTCTAAGAATTCAGAACCATTGACTGTAATAAAAGGAACGTTGGCTTCACCAGCTGTTGCTTTTGCTAGAAGCGTTTTTCCAGTGCCTGGGGGCCCAGTCAGAATAGCACCCTAAGAAAAAGTAAGAATAAAAGTTAAACATGAACACACACACACACAACACACACACACACACAGAGTCATCATCATTCATTTTGTCATAGTATTAGCAAAATTCAGCAAAGGATTTAGATTGGAGGAAATGTGAAATATTTAAGAAGCTCAATCCAAATTATAAGATTTTATGTCAATACAAAGCACATACTTCCTACTGATGAGATGAAGCCAACATATATTAGCTTGCAAGGCAGTCTTTAGAGCTCCCAACATGCACAGAGCTGTATGAACATGTTTATTGTTTTTAAAAAAACTTGCAACCACCATGTGTTAAAGTAAATCTGTATTAAAAGGTTTGTTTTTTGTTTTATCTAAAAGGAAGTAATGGGATTGAGTTAATTCAACATCATCAGTGAGTTATTTAAATTCCATAAATTAATAATAACAGTTTTCTTATTCTTGCAGATAATTACAATTAGGAAGATAATACACTGTGACTAAGTTTGAAATTCCATACCAAAGAGATTTCTAAATATTTCTGGCTCTAAGTCAATGAATGCTCTTGGGAATTAGTACCTTTGGGATCTTTGCTCCAAGATCTTGATACTGCTTTGGGTTTTTCAGAAAGTTGACAAATTCCATTATCTCTAATTTAGCCTCCTCACAGCCAGCTACATCTTTGAACTTCACATCTATTTCATCTTTTAGGACTTTAGCAGTTGTTTCACCAACACTGAAGAGTCCACCCATTCCCCGGCCTCCTCTGCCTAATCCAGCTGCTCCTCTTCTTATTGAATATAGCAAAAAGCCAATTATAAGGACTGTTGGCAACATATTCAGCAGAAATGAACTAAAAAAAGGATAAGAACTGAAAGTTGGTATAAAGCATGGCCTAGTCAAAATATTCATACAACTTGTCAAACACAATGCATGGAAAATACATTACAATGTATATATTTATTGTTAGGAATCTTCTAAACTTAATAGAAAGACTAATATTTAGCAGAACACCTATTTTTTTAATGTTTAGAAACAAACCATTTATGTTCTAAAGAGAGCAATAGTGGATTTATTTATTTTTCTGACAGTTAGCACCCCTATAATTTATTGCAAACAGCTCTAAGTGTCAGAACTGCCACCTCATGCTCTGCTATTGCTTGGTGCCAGTCTGCCATGAACTCTGGGAAGACTGGATAGGAGTGGGGGGAAGAAGTACCCAGCATAATTAAGAGTTCATGTATCAGCTAGCGATACAACTTCCAAGATTAGATGGCTAAGAACGGCAGAGAACAAATCATAGCTGCATTCCAACCCACACTTGGAGCGGCCATTCTGAAAACATCCTTTTTGAATTTGATTGGACAATTGGGGGCCAGCATGGGGATGATGCCAGGGGATAGGATGTTACACTTGGGGATTTTGGTGGGCGAATTTCAGTTCTGGCTTAATGTCAAACCTGCCTTAACTTGAACCTTCAAGTAAGAATGTTCCTTAACTCCATTCATTGAGAAAGGTATAGTGTATACTAAAGATCAAGTGAAACACAGCACAGCAAAGCCAGAACTGAAATTCATGTGCCAAAATAGGATCCTCCCCATACTGGCTCCCAAATGTCCAATCAAATTCGAAAAGGATGTTTTCAGAACAGTCGCTCCAAGTGTGGGTTGGAATGCAACTATGATTTGTTCTCAGCCGTCTTGACCTTGAAGTCGCATCTCTAGCCCATACAGCGAACTCTTCATTGCCCATGGGTACCCCCTCCCATCCAAAGTTCATGCCAGATTAGCATTAAGCAATAGCAGAGTGTGAGGTGGCAGTTCTGACACTAAAGTTAATTCTATTGAGGTAAGTGGAAACATAACTGAAGAGAACTTTGGATCCCAACAATTATTTAAAATGATGAAAAATTCAGATAAGGACGAGGAAGTAATGGTTTACTTCATACATGCCACACTGAAATAGCTAACAAAATAATTTCCCAAAACACTGAAAGAACTCAGCAGTAACTACTCAAAAACCCATATTTGAAACCCATCTTTGCTTTTAGTTCTGAGAGACCAACAAAGGCTTTAATGACATAATTATTCAATATCTTTTAGAAGCAGCTGCTCTTGCAAAAATAAATGTTTATACTTTTCCTCAAAAATTTCAGTCTTGGTCTCAATAACCCTTTAGAATTGTTTAATACTGCTTTCTAGTGATTTTTAAAGGTACATTATAATGCAAAAATTAAAATATCTATCATTTAAAATGCTTACCCATCACTTTCTGCTGTATATACTACTGGCAATTTGTTCTCTCCTTCTATGCCCATCTCCTGTTGGGCAGTTTCCAAGTTCCGCTCAAATGTATCCACACTCCCAATATTAAACCAAAGAAATTGCTGTAAATAGACCAAAATGGTAACAATTTAATTTTACTACTTAAGGTAATTTTAGATAGACAAATAATAACACTTACTTTCAGAGAAAAAGATTCCATTATGCATTAAGTGAAACAAAAAAAAATATTTATTGACTGAATTGCTATTTAGCCTTTCATTCAGCTCAAATTGCCATATATAGAACTTTGTTCTATTTTTCCCAACAGTAACATATAACAAAGTTAGAAAATTCTGGATTCAAATACACACACTGATTTCAGAGGATTTTAAAGATTAATATATAACTGAGACCAACATATTTTCTTTTGGGGTTGATGAACAAGCAGTTGGAAAAAAATCATGGAAATAATTTGTTTTGTGCATGATAACTGAAGTGAGATCACTTTATGCACAAAACTGAAAAGATTTGGCATTAATCCCAATGGAGGAAAGATTGGTGAAGATGATGGAACTTGCTGAGATGCATAAATTGACTTCTTTGATCAAAGACAGTATCTGTTTATTGCTGACTGGAAACCTATGTGGATTTTTTGCATAAAACAGAAAAAATGAACTTATGATTTATGGTTTTAATTATTAGAAAGAACATATTGTTACTGAGATGCTTAACAGATCAAAATTAAAAACATAAATTTCTTAAAACGCAACAAAAAAACCATTTCTGCTCCACAAGCCATAGTTTTATCAATTGCATATGAAGACATAGGCTTTTGCCATAATGCTATGTAATAGGGATTCAGACATTATTTAACTTATAGGAATGTATATAAGTACTGTATAAATATTGCACCCCCTGAAGTTTGCAGGATATGAATTCAATTTACCCCATCAACAGGAGATTTCCCTGGAATAAAGACGACTCTAACAAAGCGTTTGTTCACTACTTCTAGTTTGTCCACCTATTAAAAAGAAAAGAAACATATTATTACCAGTATTCTTTGTTCATGCAATACTATATTTCTATTTGTATAAAGGCAGGAAAGTATCAGTACTGGATTTATTAACTTCTCCAAATTGGTCTCCTTGCTAATTAAATTAGAGGCTTAAATCTGAATCTGTGCTATACTCATGTAAAAAAAAAACCTGCTCAATTTAAAATAATAAAGAAGATGGGTGAGGTTGATAATTCTCCCGGTGAACAGACTGCTACTGCTTCCTGTTATTCATAAAACTGTGCTCCTGATCACTGGTCCAAAACATAATTTTAGGCAATGGAAGAACTACAGAAATAAATGAGAATCCACTAGTCCCTGCTTTGCGATCCTTTATGTATCTTGAATTGCGCTGGTGGGCCCATTCTTTAAACCAGTGGTTCTCAACCTGTGGGTCGAGACCCCATTTGGGGTCGAATGACCATTTCATGGGGGTCGCCAAACAATGCAGTCTGCCATTTTTTCCCCTTTTCCTTAGCTGTGCTACTCCCTTTTATTCTATTGACTTTTGAAAGCCAATAGAATAGACTCTCTTGAATAGAGTCTAATTCTATTGGCTTTCAAAAGCCAATGGGAATTGTCCAGGCTGTCTCTGCCCTGCTGAGCCCACCAAAAGTCCCATTCTGCAAACAGTGCTGCACCAGTTGAGTAGTCCTCGACTTAAGACCGGTTGAGTAGTCCTCAACTTACGACTGGTTGGGGGGGGGGGTCACGGCATTAAAAAGGTTGAGAACCACTGCTTTAAACAAATATAACAGTACCTGAAGCTATGGATTGATTAACATTACTTAAACCTATTTAACACTACCATTTGGTAAAATGTGCATCTTTTAGTACTTGCAATAGAGTTTTTTATGAATTTCCGAATTTCCTATTTAACTTCTGAGATACAATGAACAGTTAAATGTGTTTTACACACTGAATAATGTAATTGCTCCAATAACTCTCTATCACCGACCAAAGTTTATACTGGTATGTAATAAAGATGATTAGGGCTCTAGAGTTTAAAACATATGATGAACAGTTGCAGGAACTGCGTATGTCTAACAAAGAGAAAGACCGGGGTGACATGATACGGTCTTCCAATATTTGAGAGGCTGTCACAAAAATGAAGGGGACAACCTATTTCCCAAATCACCTGAAGGCAAGTAACAGATGGAAACTTAGCAAAGAAAGGTCCAACCTAGAACTAAGGAGAAATTTCATGTCAGTGAGAACAATTAAACACAGCTTGCCCCCAGAAGTTGTGGGTACTCCCAACACTCGAGATTTTAAGATTGGACAGCCATTTTTCCAGAATAGGGTCTCCTGCTTGGGCAGGGGTTGGACTCCAAGGACCCTTCCGACTCTATTTTTCTGTAAAAAACTATTCTGAGTCTGTCACTGCAACATTAATAGACTTATGGATCCCAAGATATACATAAACTAATAAGATACCTATTTGCTTCTCTTGAGGATCGTGACTTTAACAAAAAAAAAAACACACACACACACACATGGAGTTAGAGAATATCTTGCCTTCAGTTCACTGTGTGTGTGGTAAATTTGTGGGACCACCTCTTCCTTAGAATATCTGCCCACTCCGCCAGATTAGGTAAGGTAGGTACATTCCAGTTCTTTTCCCTGAAATGTCATTTAGTGAGAAGTGTGCCTTTTCTGGATTGCCCCTATTTTACAGAACACGCTCTGGTAATGGCCACCACCATTTTAGCTTTTAGCTAGGCTATCAAGACCTGGCTTATTTTGAGATGCTGGGATAGGATTGTTTAGACAATTGGAATGAGGGCATCTTAACGGGATGGTTAAGACACAAGGGTTTTGTTTGTTGTATTGCTCTTATTATTGTTTTATAATCACTGGCTTTATTGTTGTGAGCAGCCCAGAGTTACATAGAATGGGTGTCCACATAAACCAAATATATACATAAATAAATAAACCATAAACAAATAAATGGATGTACTACTACCTTCTCAAAAGGATGGATTTTATTTATTTTTGGGAAAAAACAGGAAAATGAGTCCTAAAGTTCTGAAACTAGGATTGTATTTATTCATATTTAAATGTGAGGTAAGAATGATTATTTTTTAAAATAAATAGACCTGCAAGAATATTCCAAGTATGTATTTGCCTTCTGGATAATTTAAAGTAATCCTATTCAAGATTCTTTAAATGTTCAATATTTTTCAGACAAGATGGCTTAGGATAGAGATGGGATACAATGTTTCTGTATCCGACCTGTCAAACTTGGGCAGGTCCTTCTCTCTTTCTAAAATATGGCAGTTTGAAATCAAATTGCTCTGTATCTCTTTGAGTGATCTAGTGAGGAAGGAAGGAATCGTGTTTCTTTCTTTGTCACAGATTATTAGGACTTCAGACAAGCTTTCTGACACTATAACGATATGCAACCCTTATATTCTACTTTTTTCCCCTCTGGAAATCCAAATCAATTTACATGGGTACATTTTTTTTTACATTAATTCAACAATAACAATAATTTAGAGTAGCCTGGATTGAGTGAGTGGCCCCAGATCAGCCAACAGGTTTCCATGGTTGAGGATGGAATCAAACTGGATTCTTCCCATTCTAGTTCTAAGACTTTAACTGATACTCTACTTCAGCTTATGAATCAATAAAACCATTCCTTGTATCAACTTTAGAGTACCGTCTTCTAAAATACATACATATTAAAGTTATTATACTAATTACAATGTTACATACCTGAATTATGGTACACATTAATATACAAATAAACAATCAGAACACTCATAATATTTAGAAACTAAAGTATTTTCTAGAAACTAAAACAGCTCATTAAGAAACTCACATCTAAAGTATTAATGTATTTGGGTCTTGCAACATGGGGGAACCATCATACAGTGATTCTGGTTTCCACTGAATACAGGAAACAGCCTTATGCTGGCCAATCCATCACTCCATCAAAAACAGACAACTTGTAAATTTACAGATTTTGTGAACTTCAACTTTCAACAGATTCAACCATCATCATAAATAGTGAAGAATGTATAAATATTTTATAGTTCAGTTATGTCAGGTGAGTTATCAGTTGTCCATTTTTCTGACTGGTATCAGTTCTTCTAGGATTTTAGATAAGAGTCATTTTGTATCAGGATACATTTTGCATGTATCTTCTGCATGCAAAACACTAGCTCTGGTTACTGCCCTTGATATTATATAGCTATTTTATTTATTTATAAAATTTTAACCCAAATCAGACTAAATGTTCCATGATCTACTAGGCTAACCTGTGTTGAGGTGATTTAATCACACTGATTATAAATTATGTAGTGATGTTACCTTTCATAAGATTACTTCCTCTGGCTACTTACAATTCCTTTGGAAAGATAATTGTTGGCAAAGTCTTTCCATGTGATTTCTCTTCCAGAATTCCTGAAGATAACATAATAGATTACCACAGACCAGAAAAGAGAAGTTGAGATGAAATAATACCGGAACTCTTTATCATCCCAGGGAAAATCACCCTAAAAGGAAAGAAGAGGCATTACTATTTCCAGAGGATAATTCTGTATAAAAAGATAACAATTTCTTATTTTACGCTAACAAAAACAAGAATGTAGCATTTTAAATATCCTACCAATTACAATATCTTTCACAATGTATCTTTTACAATGTTCTAAAAATATTTAAATTTTGTACATCACCCCGAAATGCATTAAATGGCAGGCACTATAAATTATAAACACAAGCAAAGATTATAGCTGAGATAATTATAGATGCTTACCACAAACACTGAGCTTAGGTCAGAGACTTATAAATTTAAAATACAGAGTGGCATAATTTGTATTGCCTTCTACATTAATATATAATTTTATTTAATAACATTTTCTTAAATTAACAGCATTCCAATGGTGAAAAGAAACGGAATATCATGTATTAATGTTTTTATTTACTAAGGCTTATATGTTGCTCCAGTCTATAAGAACTGTGAGTGGTTTTCATTCCCTTCTTTTTACCAAATTGCCTGTTTGGGCTAGGGTTAAGAAATAAAACAGGTATCAGCTGACTCCGTGCTAATGAATGATCTCCTCTAGTAACTTCATACAAACAGGTACAAAAGGGATACAAGTGACAAGCCCTTAGCACTCCATACGAGCAGCGCAGGCTGCAACTTTTCCTGTTCCCACTACCACTGAATGGAACCTCTTCTTCACAAACCATTTTAAAACAGTATATTTCACTCTTAATCCTTGAGGGGGAGGAGGGGGTGGCCACACAGGAGCAGGAAAGTCACACTACTGTATCCCAGTCCCACCACAGATCATCTATACGGGCAGCCAATATAGTTTCAATACCATATTTAGTCTGAAGCTCAACTGAAAAGGATAGTAAATGTAAGTCCACCATATTTTCAACAACCGTCCTAAAAAGGGAAACTAGATTATTGTTATTGTTGTTGGGTTGAGTGACGGCTTCTTCAGGAGGGGACATATCATCATTTCCTTCAAAGCAGATAGGGCCACTGTCTCTCTCAAGGATCCATTATCTACACCTCCCACCCAACTTTCTGCTACCTCTTGGAAAAAGAATTGGAACCTTTTGTAATCTTGACCACCAGTTGGAATCTTCTTTCTTGCCACCTTTTTTGCCTCCACTACTACCTCCTCCACTGCCAGATTTGGAAGATTGCTGGGACTCTGCCTCCTTTGCATCTATAATAAACATACATACGTCTCATTGGAAATTATAAAAGATTTATTAAAATTATCACTCTGACATTCTCAGTCATGGTCAGTTCTGTACACACAATATTAATGCAACAATAATCACTATAATAGTCGAACTAGACCAGGCATGTCAAACTGCCAGCCCACAGGCCGGATGCATCACATCAAAACCGCGCCCACCCCATTGCTAGCAATGGGGAAAAAGTTGCAATACGTTGTGCAACGTCATGTGACGTCGTGAGTTTGACATGCCTGAACTAGATTATACCATTATTAAAATTATATTTTGCACATCTAACCTAGAACGGGTATCAAGAAATCATACAAATTTGATCAATAAACATTATTACATCCAATATCTAATATTAACTGTTGTGGTCCTCTATTTCCCACTTAACTGAATACAGATACCATAATACAGGATAGTTCTATTGCAATACAAGATGATATAGCTCCAATCATTTTGGTGTGTCATTAATCTCAAAGCCAGGAAGTCCACACCCTGAGGTCTCTGAAAGCCTACGATGTAATCCTGGAGTCTTTCAAAACTTATCAAATGCCAATTTTTAATGTAAGAAATGGGCGAAAATAATTTACTATACAATTATAGAACAATCATATTAATTATATAATTTTAATTAGATTTAAACATTAACAAAATTTTATATGGGCCTCATTTGATGGATGGTACTTCATTGAAAGACTTAGTGTAGTTTCAGCCTTGCTATAGAAAAGGATGTCTCTGGCAAGAACAGGCTTCTTTGTGTTAGTAGTCATAGTGGCTTCTTTCGCACAAAGTACATAAAATTGTAAACATCTGATTGTGGAATTTTTGCAGTTTTATAAAATTTGCATCTACCCAGCTACTTCAAGATAATAACTTAAGAAAAATAGTAATATTCAAATTAGTATTATGATTATGCTAGTATCATTAGAACATATAAATACTGAGGGAAACAGTTTTGTAACCAATTTACAAATTACAGATAGCCCCTCAGGAAAATATCAAGAAATAAATTGGTATGACTAGAATGTTTCAAAGACTGCTTGCTATTTTCCAGTACAGTACTGGTTTTCAATAAGACAAGAAGTAATGGGTGAAAGCTCATCATATATTTCCAGGTGTATTTATTAAAATATCTGTACTAATGTTATGGCCTGCAAATTAGAAGGCTGGAAACCTCTCCCAGATGCCTGTGGGCCTTAAGGGAAATAAGGTAAGTTTAGCCTAACAAAGTAAAGGGTCAGGGGTGACATGATAGCCATCTTCCTATACTTGAAAGGCTGTCACTGTGAAAAGATGGTTGATTTATTCTCCAAAGTAGCTGAAGGCAGGAGAAGAAGCAATGGATGGAAGCTTATCAGAGGGAGATCCAACCTGGAACTAAGGAGAAATTTCCTCACAGTGAAAACAATTAGTCAATGGAACAGCTTGCCTGAATTTTGGGTGCTCCGTGACTGGAGGTTTTCAAGAAAGGATTGGACAACCATTTGTCCATGATGGAATAAGGACTCCTGCCTTAGGTGGGGGGGTTGGAGTACATGACCACTAAGGTCCCTTGCAACCCTATGATTCTGATTCCCTACATCCTGGTCCTACTTCTTGCTCTGAAGTGGCAGCTTAGTCATTCCTGCTGCAACCACTACCCTTTAAGGGGGATTCATTTGGCATATAGCCCCTAATATCAGTATATAAGACAGATAAGATTCTTTCAACCTATGGTCCTTTCTAGCAACTAAAACATCAAAAAAACAAATGTTTAAGTAATTTTGATAATGCCACATTCCCTTTGTGCAATATATTAAAATCCCTTTGCAGCTGTAGGCATTAAAAATTAGATATTCAAGCGGAAGGAGAAATGACAAGAGTTGCATTTTAACTGCAACTTTCATATTAGCTAAGAAAGAAAAAATCCAATATAAATTGCAATATTCCAGGACACAAAGTGATGCTTGAAAAGAAAGGCCTTCAGCCCCAAATCTTGAAAGGGGTTAGAAAGAAATTTAATTACAGATCATCGTAGCAGAGTCTTCCCCCCTCCAATGAATATAGTTTGAAATAGCAATAAAGGCTAACCACCTAATTATGTAACTTATACAAAGATAAAGATTCCAGGTATCATCCAGGAAATAGATATAAAAAATTTAGCACAAATTTCTGGCTACCTATATTTATCTATTTCTTTGCAAACCGCTGATAGGGAAGGTGAAAACATCTTTTGAAAGACATCTGTCCAGAAACATTTTTCTCTCTTTCACTCTGCCTTAACAAAGACAAACTTTTTTATGTGCTGTGTATGTGTTTGTGTTGTTTGCAGAACCTAATCAGGATGAACCTCAGGATGAAAAGGTCAAAATTAGCAAGATGGCAGCTGGACTATTACAATACAGGCCTCGCTTCTTTAAGTACCATACAATGTTGGCAGATGTACAAAAGAAGTGGAACTTCCATCAACATTATTCTTCTACACTCTTGCTGATTTTGACACCCTCCTCCTATGAATACTATTGCCCTCCATGTTAACTCTTTTCTTTGCCCTCTTATTATTTACGACCACAACTGAGCCCAAAATTTCCATTGCTAAGCAAGACAGTTGTTAAATGAATTTTGTCCCATTTTACAACCTTTATTGCCACAGTAGTTAAATGAATCACTGTAGCTGTTAAGTTAGTGACATGGTTAAGAGAATCTGGTTTTTCCCTTGACTTTGCTTGTCAGAAGGTTGCAAAAGATGATCACATGACCCTGGGATGCTGCAACCATCATAAATACATGCCAGTTGCTAAGCATCTGAATTTTGATCACAGGACCATGGGGATGCTGCAATGGTTGTCAGTGTAAAAAACAGTCATAAGTAACTTTTTTCAGTGCTGTTATAACTTTGAGCGGTCATGAAACAAATGATTGTAAGTCAAGGACTACCTGTAATATACATAACAGTTACCAAATAATCAGCTCTTTGCTTTTGAGTAACATCTAATATATAACAAATCTGACAATGAACTAACAGTGAAGTCAAATGGTGAAGTCAAATCTGAAATGTGAGTAAACACAGTAAATATTTTTTCTGGCTAAAGGGTAGTAACAAAAAGTAAAACAACAGAAGCAAAGAACAGGAAGATTATCTTTAGAAGGAATCATTTGAGCCAGTTTACGCACTGAATTATGAAACAATAAATGTGTATACTAGTGCACATGATAATTTGAATTAATGAGTACTAAAATGGAAGTAACCAAGTTAATATTCATTCTACATACAGGCCTCTAAGGAAAGCGCGTCTTGGTACCTTTGGGTTCTCCATCGGAATCTTTCACATCATTAGGTTTTTTCCCCCCAGGAAAATATTTTTCAAATCCTATTAAAATAAAGCAGTGGAAATAAAAATCATTGATGCCTAAGATAGTAAAGCTTTATTATATAAATTATCAGGTGACTTCCAGGTGCAATTCAAGGTGCTGGTTATCACCTCTAAAGCCCTTCAGGGCCTATAATGTCACTAGTGAAGGGACCATTTACCACGAGCTGCTTCTGCCCACTAGGTGTAATCAAGCAAGATGGATGTACTTTAGATTCTGCCTATCTAATAGCGTCACTTTACAGATCCAGTAGGCACATCAATCTGGTTGCAGTACCTTCTTCTGAAATGATACTTCTCAAAGATTTGTGCAACTCCCATCCTCATGATGTTCCAGAAACTGAGCAAGGGGAGAGGGACTTCAGTTGTTCTCCCAGGCCATAGAGCTCCTTTTAGTTTAGATTAATTTTTTCTTTACATTTTTTTCTTTTATCTATAAGCTACCCAGTCAGATAATCTTGACTGGGATTGATTAAACAAACGAACAAATAAAATAAAAATCCCATTAATCAAAAAAGTGAGACATAATTGTAACTTTAGTTCTTCCATATTTGTATATTCCTAGATCCTTTATTCCATCAGGGAGCTAATTCAGTTAAGCTACAGTTATTAAGCAAAGGAAATATACTTATTAATGCTCACAAACACAAGGATTCTAGTATAAAGAAGCAATGGACAAGATGACCTTTAATTTGTGCCTTACAATTATTTTTGACATTCAAAATTTTTATATATGTGCACATTTCTTGTTTCTTAAAAAAACAAAGTCATATTTAAGAGTTCTGTATTTGATTCAGTTGGCATAAAGAAAAGGGACGTCAAAAATCAAATATTTACCTATATTATTTATAGGAATGTTTTTAAACATTTATAAATAATAATATACGGTAGTAGATATTTTGGCATTAAACTAAAAATGTTGTATTTCTTTTTTATATCAGAAAGACAACTCATTTTCCTTTTTTGGTATCTTTTATCAGTATTACATTGGCCATTAATTGTTCAATTTTAGAAAATATGTCCATTTGTTGATATCTCCTTTGAAATTTATTTTAAATTAAAAGAAAAAAGTATTTCATTTGAAAGTACCTGGGGCTAGAGAAAGTTTTAAAAAATTATGAAAATATATTAATTCTATTGATATCATTGAATTTTAAGATGTTGAAACTCAAATTGTAAAAGGAATATTTGAAGCCTACATATTATGAGTTTAAATCTCATTGCACATTACTAACTTCCAATAAGTATTATTATAGACATTATAGGATTTCAGAAAGATATAGCTGCTGTATATTTTTTTAAGATGGTATAAGGAATTTTCCAAATGGAAATGGAAATTTCATTGGATGCAATTGATGACATTCTAAACTTTGCTACTTTTTAATAAATAAAATACACATTTTGCAGAACATGACAATATGTACAATAAATATATGAAACATTGGTTTTGGAAATAATCATATTCTGAACAATCTTTGTGAAATTAATGAGAGTTAGATTCCTTTTATCTTAGTGGATTTACTTAAAGTGAATTTGAGTATTTTTAAACCACAATACAATATGCAAGTCACAAATTCATATCTCCCTTTTGCCATTCAGAATAAATCTTGTTACCTGTATACATCATTTTACATAAAGGAGGTAATAGTATGCAAGCTATATGGCATCAGTATTATATAGCAATAATTACCTTTCGGAGGTTGGGAAAAGAGTTTTTGATAAGCAGCAATTACATTTACAAGGACACTGTTTCTGTTTGTAGGAACCTGGGAGATCACTTTATCATGAAGCTGAAAAAAATGAGAATGATCATGGTTAAGAATGAAAAACATTCCAGATTTTTTTAGTACAATTTTATGCACATTTAAAAGTAACTTAAGATGCTTATACTAAGGATTACTGGCAAACTGCATCCAATATTTTCTTAGATTTTAATTTACATAAACCTATCCAGGATTATATCTCACTGACATCACACTTCCATTATGTTGTACATCCCTATCTTCTTCTGAATTATTATGAGAGCCCCAGGAAAGCAGTACTTGGAAATGGCTTTTAACATCCAACAATATCACACACGTATAGAAAGCAATTTGGAATTTCTTAAAAGTTACATCAGTCTTATATCTAACAATATACTGATCAGCAGAAATGATCAGCAAGTCCATGAAAATAAGTAGGAGATGAGGAGTAGATAATCCCTGTTAGCTCTTCCTTGATATCTATGTAAGCCATGGAATACAGGTAGTCTTCACAATTAGCACAAAAAGAAAATTGTCTAGTAAAAGGGAAATAGAATGTGGTACCAAATGTCTAAGGAGATTCTCAGTCATCTAAGTTATGGTTGTCTCAAAGATACTTTTTCAAAAGGCAACTGGGCCTTTTGTCATAGGCTAGTATTAGGCCATAGTCCAACTGCCTTTTAAAAAATCATTTTTGGGCAGAATGCTATAACTGTATACTTCTTCTGGCAACCAATTTAACAATGTCTTTTACTGTTTAGCAATTTTAAAGCTAGGTAAAGTTTGTACATTGTCCTAAGCTGGGGTTCACCGAATAACTGGATATGAAGGACTGGGCTATGCAAGCAACAAACAGACCAAATTATGGTTTAGCATGGCAAATGGTTCAGCCCTCTACCGTATATTTTCATGCTGGTTTTAAAAATCGAAGTTTCTTTTCTGAAACTTATAAGGAATCAAAACTTAAAAGTTAATCTCTTTCCCAAGTAATATTCTTTCTAAAATTACTTGCCGTAAAAGTAAAGCATAATTAATATGTGCTAAATCATACTAAATAAAATGCTTACTTCCTTATGGAATCAGACACTTTAGCCAAGCATTTTACAAGAATCCCAGCACACGAGAGAGCCGATTTTTGTTGCACTGTATTTTTTAATTTTCTCACGATGTGGAAGCTCACTCTTAAGTCTCCTATAGAGGATGCCCCATTTTAAAAGAGTAAAGGCTATTCATTAGTATATTAAGGTTACCCTAAAGCCGAGGTGGCCTACTCCTGCCCTAAAGTAAGCGATCCTGATCTTAACAGAGATCTGTTGTATTCTTGCCGCGAGCAAAAAACGCAAGCTAGGCTATTTGCTTCGGTCCAGCCGCCGACTCAGTTGATTCGGGTGATTAGGGGCTCAAGAAACGCTATGGGGAGGGCAGCCGTGGAAACATAGGAAGAAGGCACCCGTCTGCCCTTGCCCTGTTTATCGTCTGTGACTCACCTGTCTCATGGAACGGGAAGGAACAGCTCGACCTCGGGACCAAAGCTGCAGCTGAGCTGCGGGGACCCCAGCAGGGGTGCGCCGGCAACAACCGCGCGACAGCCAGAGGCAGCGATGAGCCATTGCCCCCCCCCCAAACAGGCCTAAAGGCCCCACAAGCACAGCTCTCTCACGCCTCCTGAAGGGGCGAGCTGAACCACGCTCCTGGCGCTCCGTCTGCGTCATCACGTCGACGTCCTCCTCTTCCTGTTTCCCATGCGCGCGCAGGGTATCTCCGCGCCTGCCGTTTGCATGGGGCTGTTTGTTTTCTTTCTTTTCTTTTTCGTAATTGTGGAAGCGCCGCTATTTCCCAAGGGAGCGGTTTTCGAGCACCAGTGCTTCCGTGCTTTTTCCAGAAGGATCCTTACAGACATGAAAAGATCAGCTAAAGTATGCCAAAATCCGAGAACAAAAGTTGCGTAAGCAGAGATAATAAGCTTGAAAAGGTGTAAGTTTAGAATTATATTTACAGACGTTCTTCATACATAAAGTTTCATAAAAGGATAAAGATGATTTTCTGGTATATGCTTTTGCTTCAAGATAATATAATAATTTAGCTCAGTGGTTCTCAACCTGTGGGTCAGGACCCCATTTGGGGTCGAACGACCATTTCACGGGGGTCGCCAAACAACGCAGTCCGCCATTTTTTCCCCCTTTTCCTTAGCTGTGCTACTCCCTTTTATTCTATTGTCTTTTGAAAGCCAATAGAATAGACTCTCTTGAATAGAGTCTAATTCTATTGGCTTTCAAAAGCCAATAGGAATTGTCCAGGCTGTCTCTGCCTGCTGAGCCTGCCAAAAGTCCCATTCTGCAAACGGTGCTGCACCAGTTGAGTAGTCCTCAACTTACGACCGGTTGGGGGTCACGGCATTAAAAAGGTTGAGAACCACTGATTTAGCTTGAAGAGATCAAATCAGATATAAGTGGCTTGTTTTCTTTCAGAATTCTTAGAAACACCTGATGCTGGAAACTGGGCTACTAGATTCTAGTTTTTGAGGGATACAAGACTAGCTGTGTTAAGGAAATTCCACAAAAATTAATAGGATTTATGTTCAAGTAAGCAGCAATGGGATTGCAGCAATTATGTTAAATGAATATAAACTCTGTATTCTAGTTAAATGGTAATTATCCAAGAAATAAACATGATTTCAGGTCTGCTCCAAATTTGAAAGACTTTTTTTTTTCCATACTTCAATTTTATGACAAGGTAGGTGTGACTGCTATTGAACCAGCTTGAACTGGAATATATAAATATGATACCCTATGAGTTCTAGGACATTCTGGTAGGGTATCAGTAGCAAAAAAAAAAAAGTTTTATCTTGGTCTTAGTACACAATATTACATCACTGCATGACTCTCGTCTACCCTCTCTCCAGATAAGAAAATTACAGTTTGGAAAGAACTTAAAAGTGTATTTCACTAACAGTTTTTAATCCAGGAAATAAAAGACTTTAAATTACAAGGAAGTAGATTTGCACTGGGCATCTGGAAAAAAATCCTAATTTTAAATGCTAATCCAGTTAGCTCTACTCCAGATGTCTGGAGTTGCGCTACATGTAGTAGTGATACTGTATTAAGTAACTGAGCTGAAATTGCACAACACTGAACTTTATTTAACCCAAATACCTGTTATGTGAACATGGTCATCTAATAGGGCTATGTTATACCTGAGTTTTTTCCAGCTTTAATTAAAATTAGTAATCCAATTATTAAATTAAGTGGATTTAGCCAGCCATATATTAAATTGAGAATGTTCTTCTTTAAATTGCTGTCCACTCAGAAATAAGTTCAACTGCAGTCCAAGGTTGCCTGAAGTTGCCAAGGTTGAGAAACACTGTTCTACTGATTTCGGTAGGATTTGTCTCAATAAACTAGTACTGGATTGCTTTTTTCATCAAATAAAAATCCAGCAAAATGGAGATGTATTGTTCTGCTTTCGGTACAGACTAATCTCGACCGAGGCAATCTTTAAAACTCCGCGCGTGGTCAGTCACGCAATGAAAGCCGCTCGTGGAAAAAATGCCACCCGTTCACAGGCGGAGGCGTAGCCTAATAGCGTAGCAATGACGGCGTAAACACGTGCCGGCCTACAAGGTGAACTCCGCGCCTCCGGCTCAAGGGCGTTGCCGTCTTTCCTGCGCACTAGCTCCGCCTTGCAAGAGCCGAGAGTGGTTGACCCAGGACGGGTAGGCAACCTTGGCTCTTTTATGACTCGTGGACTTCAAGTTCCAGAATTCCTGAGCCAGCATGGCTCAGCTTGGAAACTCTCTTTCCCCTTAGCATGGCTGGCTCAGGAATTCTGGGAGTTGAAGTCCACGGGTCATAAAAGAGCCAGCGTTGCCTACCTCTGACCCAGGAGATGGTCTCTGCCCTACCTTGGTGACGCAGATGCTGACGTCTCCGGCCACATTCCTATCCTGTTTCGCGGGAAGCTCCGCCTTTTCCTTCTGGGCCGAGAAGCCGGTGCCTTCCGCCGCTCAGCTATCGCTCTTTGCAGGATGAAGATCTGGAGCTCGGAACACGAATTCGGGTAAGGGAGGGCAGAAATGGCGCTTTCCTTGTTTGCCTGGCCTCGGCGGGGACGTCGCGAGAGATCTAACCCGGATTCCTCTCTAGCCTAGTCTGTGGAAGATCTCCAGCTTTTTCTAGCTTGCTGCCTACCCGTGCCTTTAATTCCAAAAGGGGAAAGGCTGAAGAGATTCACTCTGTCTGGTTGCATTAATGAAATCAAGGTTTATTTCTTGGGTTTACGGCAGTGTGCTAATCCATAATCCACGATTTACAAACCATCCCGCCTGGATCCCGGGAATGCTCTCAGATACAAAGAGGCAGCCTCATTTTGAAGTTAGATGTTGTGTGAACGCAGCCTGTAACCCCCAACATATTCGGTAGCGCCAGGGAAACCCGTTTCCTACAACATATCTGCTTAATTGCTGTAACTGCCGACCTCACAGTCGTGATGCTGAAGACTTAGGTGAAAAGCGGGGAAAAGCTTTAAAAATTGCGGGAGTATCGGTGGTGGGTGTAGAGGCACACTCGTTTTGCTTTCTTTAAGGCATTAATTTAGTACTTTCAGTAACTAGATCTTTTCCCCCCTAGTATTTCCTTTCTGTCCTTATTGCAAGGCAAAGTAGTTCTTGACCTTGCCCTCTAACGGAAACTGGCAAAACGATACTTCTGCTAGGATGCTGGAAGGTCATCAAGTGGGTGTTTTATTTGAGATTCATGTTGGGTAGCCCTCGGTGGATGGTCTTAAAACCCTTCCTTACCTGTTCTAAGGTTTTTAGAAGTAGTATTTTGATAACTGTGCAATTTGAATAAGCAGTTTGATTAAATGACAAGTAAAACTAGTCCTAAATCTTCCTCTCTGGCCTCCACTGTTTTGACATTTTGAGTATGTTTAGGTTATGAAAAATCCAGAATTTGGGCTTAAATCAAGAGTTTTTCCTGGTTTATGTTTCTCTCTATGTATACATAAGAAACATTTTGCTTTCTTAATCTATTTCTTTGTCAACTTTTTAGTTCAGAAACCAAATGAATATAAAACAGACTTTTAGCACTTCAAGGAAAGGTGGTTAAAAGTAAGAGGTAATGTTGTGATGTCTCCAGATATACAGATATGGAGGAAATACATTTGTGATCCAATCATCTTGGAATTTTCTAAGAGAATTTGGGACACCGTAAAAAGTTGTTTTTGTTGTAATGGTCTGTTGGATAATTCTTGTTTTACACGAACAGAAGTTATATTATTTTCTCCATAGCAAAATTATGTTTTTTGCATAGAAATAACAAATTAGAATTTTGATTTTTCTCAAGCCTATTTGATACACTTTTTACATTTAAAGGATTCAGTGATTGTCCAGTCATTTTTAAGTTTTTAAGTAGCATAATATGCTGGTAAATAGCTATGCTATTATGAAATAATTTTCTGGAATTCTATGATAAACCACAGGTCTTTTGTATTCACTGTTTTTTTTTCCCAGAACCTCATATAGTTCTCCCAGCTGATATTGAATGTATCTATCTGATTAATAGAATGAATTTGAATGAGCTTGACATAGTATTCTTCGACAATTCTAATTCTCAGGCTTCTAGAGTTATTCTGAAAAGGTGCTGCCACTTTAAGCAATCACATTGAAGGTCATGATTTGATGCCTTTAAACATTAACACCTTTTTAGATTCCAATGAAAGCCTAAAGAAAAAGGGGCTGTTTTAATAAATGATAGGGCGCTTCTGAAGCATTTAATTTTATTTTTGAAACATAAATCCAGTTAAGTATGCCACTCTCATCCTTGTGAGTTTTTTTTTCTGAATGTTTAAGGACATCTGAATGTCTGTACAGATTAGATTGCATAAGCCTTAAGATTGCACATATTAGTGTGATGAAAATCTTCAATCTTGTTACTCATTTCGGCAATTTTAAATCTGCATTTTAATTCTGCAATACCTATAAAAATGAGAGTATAAACCTGTGGCTGCAGCTTCCTTCCCAGCTTTATAAGACTCTCTTCTAATTATATCAGTATTCTGCTTTGAGCTGCTTTTTAATTAATATGTGAAGTAATTCCTTGATGGAGAATCAATTTGTTTTAGAATGAAAATTGAAGATGGTGCTACTTAATATTTGTCAGTGCTCCTTCCACTAGAAATAGAAATGCAGGTGAATACATTTTTAAGATATGCAAATTGTGGGGCAGAGGTAGCGGGTAATATGTGAGCAGTGGTAAAAAAAATGAATATTTGCCCCAATAAACAGCAGTTCCTATTGCTGTTGTTAAGCAAAGATCATGGTGAGGACCTAATGCGATTGGAATTTGTGACTTCTTGCCAGCTTCCAGCAAGCAAAGACAATGGGGAAGTTGGCAGGAAGTTGCAAGTCTCCTTAGGTGGCTTTGCAAACAGGCCAGCAGGTGCTGGAATACTTGGAAAGCAGGGGTGTATGTGTGCTTACTATGTTGTGGTGTGAGCCCAGCAAGGCCAGCATATATGTGTGCAGCACAACTGCAACCAAATAGGTGTCTGCCTACCTGCCTGGGCCCATGGTTTGGGACCTTTTTGAGAGAAAGAACAGTGGGAATTATTTACCATAGTAACTTGCAACCTTCCATACTGGCTTCCCCATTGACTTTCTTATAGCAAGCCAGCAGAAAAGATTACAAATGGTGATCACAGGATGCTGCAAACATCATAAATGTAAGCCAGTTGCCAAGCACCTGAATTGTTGTCATGTGACTGTAGGAGTGTTAGGATGGCCACAAATATGAATTCTGGTCGTAAGTATCACTTGTTCAACACTGTCATAAGTTCAAATAGTTGCTGAACAAGTTATTGTTAACCGAGAACTATCTGTATCATTCTTGCCTAAAAAAAAAAAAAAAATCTGTCAGCTCTTAAATTTGGACAGAAAGAATGGAATGTTCTGGCATGAGAACTGAATGAGATTGTACTAGCGATATGAATTGGTGAAGTTCTTGTTGCAATTATTTATCCAGTGTAAGTCTCAAGCTAAAAGATACGTTTAATGTGATTTGAAATTGCCAGAGAACATTTTGAGCATTTTATTTTTATCCTGCTTGTGTTATTATTTATAAATAATTCAAGGCGGCAAACATACCTAATATTCCTCCTTTCTCCTCTTATTTTCCCCACAACAACATCCCACAACAATATCCCATGAAATGAATAATTAGACTGAGAGTGACTAACCCAAAGTCATTCAGCCAGTTTTTCATGTCTAAGACAGGTCTAGAGTTTACAATCTCCTGGTTCATAGGCCATCACCAGTAAACTACATGGGCTTTTTCCTTGTGTTGGAGGAAATATTGCTCTTATTAAATTAGGAATCAAGGTGATTGAAAAAGGATCCAACAAAGTATATTTTATTGGTAGGCCCAGATTATAGAAACCACAGGCCTCCTCACCAAGGAATTGCAGAAGAGCCCTGAACAAAGCATGATTATAAATGTTAGACATTTGATTTGTTACCTATATAAAAAACCTATGTAAAAAAAAACCCTTGCATTAAGAATGCCTTTGAATATGATGTAGGTGAATAACCTTGCCTTCGTGCTCCAAAATTCCTTCACACTATTAAGATTCCCTCTTGCTGTATACATTTTTTTAAACAATAGTGTTTAATGTATCTTCCTCCTTTCACCTCATTGTGTTAACATTCTGAAGAAAGACAGTTGTCTGGTTTCTGTTATTTGTTACTCCAGGGACACTGCACTAGCCTTCATTTCAAATTCTGTACGTTTTAAATTATGGGTGAGCTGTTAAAGAATAAATGAAGTATAAATGAATTAAACCTTCAGGTAAGTATTAATTATCAAGAGAATCTAACAGAAGCTCGAGCTATGTATATGTTAACATATGGGAATTGCAACAGAGCTCCTTAAACGAGAAATGTGGAACAAGTGGTCCGGTTCAAGAATGTTCTGTTCTTTCAGTTCGAGTGATTTAAAGGTACTTCTAAAAATCAAAGTCCAGCTTACATATTCAGAATGTACATGTGTTATGTGCCAACTTATATTCAGCAGCCTGAGGCACATAGGGAACAAAGGTTGTGAGTTGTAGTTTGGTTTATCGTTGGATACTTCCAGACTTATCAGCAATAGTTTTCAGACTGATCTAGTTTCTTGAATCATGATGCCTTTGTCAGATATTTCATTTATTCTTTGCATAGTCAGTTTTCTGGAGCCATCAGAATTCAGCATAAGTAGAAAATATAAATAAATGCAGCTGTCCAGGAATTTAAAACTTCCAGAAATATGTAGGAGGAAAAATATGTAGGTGGAACAGACAAACTAATAGAAATGAGAGAATATTTCCAGATTATGTGGTCAAGTGGATATGACACAAGACTAAAAAATACTTTAAAAATTCACAACCATATTTGAAACGGTTTCTGAATACATCGTTGGCACTGATTAACAGGGCTTTTTAAAAAGATAATCTTAAATACAGGATTGAATTTATAATCTGTAAGATTTTTCCTTTGAGTACAGTAGACCATTCCTAGATAGGAACTTGCTACAGAGAAAAATTGTCTTATTAATTTTTAAAATGAAAAAAATGCATTGTATTGTAATAGTATGATGTTCTTGTAATGCTACATATGCTCATGTTGAAACAAATTCTGATAGAATTCTTCCACCTGAAGAATAAAAAGTAAATCAACATTAAAAGTACATTACACATGAAGATTTTATTTTTTAAAACATTAGCATATCATTTTATTGTATATTAACTCTGTGTTGGGCTGCACTTGCCTTTTGGATTATGGATGTGGATGGCTATTCACTTAAAAAATTGCATATCTATACTTTCTCCTAATATCTACTTTCAGCTGGTTAAAAATTAAATAAACACAATATGAATGGGAAAAGTTGGGAAAATAATTAGAAAATCATGAGATTCGGGTACTGATTTCTTTTGGGGCATTCTTTAACACAAATTAAAATAATTTCTACTTGCACTGAACCTTCTTTTTGAGTGCTTAAAGATGTGTATTGATTAATTGTGTTCTATTTCATTTTTCCAGGCATTCATGGGATACTGTAATAAAAGCTGCAATGAGAAAATACCCCAATCCTATGAACCCATCAGTGGTAGGAGTTGATGTCCTGGACCGAAGCCTTGATAATCAAGGAAGATTACATAGTCATCGATTACTTAGTACTGAATGGGGTCTACCAAATATTGTAAAAGCTGTAAGTTACATTGTAAAAAACTAACAATAAACAAAAACAGCATGAATAAAACGTTTTTATTAAATAACTTCCTAAATTATTACCCTCTTGGCTTCTTAATACAATTATTACTTTTGACTTTGCATTATTCTAGTGATAGATATTTAATATCATTTTGTTAAGAATTACACTGCATGTTGAGGAATCATACTTTTAAAGATTTATATTCATTGCATAATTTCTGCTTATGTGACTTTTGGTTAATTCTCATTTTTCCTTTTTCTTCAAGATTTTGGGGACAAATAGAACTGTTACATACATTAAAGAACATTCTGTAGTTGATCCAGTGGAAAAGAAAATGATATTGAGCTCCACAAATGTAAGTAATGAAATCTGTTATTTATTGCTTGCAGGACAAGAGGCTTGCTGAATGCTTATTCTGGGTTTATTTTTATACCATGTTTGAAGATTCTTTAAAAAATATAGTTATAAGACCAAAGTGTAAACAAGAATAGAACACTAGATAATATTCAGTATCTCTCAAATAAACCTTAAAGTCATGCTGGGAAATATAAGTTTAGAATAGGGAGGTTATCCTAAAAGAATCACAATCAATTATTTTGCTTATACTGATACTTAAAATATGAATTTTGAAACTCTTTACCTACTGCCCCCAACAACGGGTTTAAGATTTTAACTTTCATCATTTTTAAAATGGTCCTTTCATTTAAGGTGTTGCAGAATCTAACTTGTAAGAGTTTTTCATTTAATTTGAAAGAGTAAGTCAGAACTAATTTGTGTCTTTATTTTTCTAAGATAACACTTACGAATCTTGTATCAGTGGATGAACGATTAGTTTATACACCTCATCCTGAAAATCCTGAAAAGTAAGTTTAGATGTTATGCTTGAACAAAAGCATAATTTTGTCACTAAGAATCCTTTGTGATCTAACTTTTTAATTTTTTTCCTTCCCTAGGACTCTTCTAACGCAAGAAGCAATTATTACGGTAAAAGGTGTTAGTCTTAGTAGTTACTTGGAAACTTTAATGGCCAACACAATATCGTCTAATGCTAGAAAGGTAGGCATATAAAATATTTTTATTGTGTTACTGTTGCTACCATGATATCTGTTTAACAAGTATATGTTGTCATATACTTGTTTTGACATAGATGGATTCCAAGATGCTCTCAATTAAAAATCTTTTAATCAAATAAAAGAGTAGTCAAAACACAACACTATTTAGTAGTTTTTTCAAGTATGATGCTACATTTCCCTGCCTGTTTATAAAATTGTCAATGCATTGCTTGTCTTAGTCATTTGCCTGCAGTTGATTCTTCTTTTCTGTTCTAATGCTGGTACCACTAAACAGTTAGTGTGGCTCTGTATTTTTCACTCATACAGCTGTGGTCATTTTAATTTTGTAACCAAGTGTCTAGATGGCAGTTATTTTTTTTAAGAATTTGGTAACTTGTAATCTCAAGTAGATGTTAAAAAGAAACTAGTAACAACACATGCGCATAGTCGACTCAGTATTAGTACAATGGGATGCATGTTTATATGCTGTCAAAATCCCACTTTGCTATACATAGAAACTTTTTGGGGGTATTCTTGCTTGCTGTATCTATGCAATTAAAATGTTTAATTTTGCTAGAAGCTCTTACATTGTAGGGTTGATGATGGAATAATTGTTTGCTGCAAGTTGTACATTTTTTCTGTGTTACTCCAGGGGTGGGATGCTCTTGAATGGACAATTCAGCATTCTGAAAATGTTCTAAGCTAGCAGTCTTTCTACAGCTGCATTTTGTACTAACTAGTGGTAATGTCAGCATTTGTTACCTTGGTATAGCATTTCAGCTTCTAGCAAGTACATGCATGTTGTTGTGATGTACCTTTAAAAAGCTGCATGCTTTTATATGTATATACACACATTGCATATAGAGGAACAGTGCCCTTAATTAGGAATCAGGGCTCCTTTGATATCTAAATACTTTGTCATAGGAAGGTTTTTAATCCAAGGGGATCAATTTAATGTTATTTTTATATTTTGTTGATGCTTTTTGTGTAAAAAGAATATTATTAGAACACTGGAGGAATTATTTTTTAAAAACATTTGTGTGTTGAATTGGTCAAAGAGCTCTATTATAGCAATACATGTCAAATCAGATTGATTATGTGTTCAGGTCTGACATTGCAAGACTAGATGTGAAATAACTCTTCAACAAAGAGTTACTTTCAAATCCTTGGTTGCTTAACATGTACTATTTGATGTCAATACTGGTTTCAGTTGACTCTGCAGTGTATTTCTGTAGAAATATGATGCTAACGGCATTAAGTTAATTGATTGATTACATGCCAAGAAGTCATTATCAACTTGTAGCAACCACATAGATTTTTCTGCATCATGATACATTCATTGTAATACAGCTTGTGTTAAAAGCTGTATAAATACAATCAGTGTACTCTGATTATCAGGCTAAGTATATAGATTCCAGCTGCTAGAAGTTGACAGAGATAGATGGATACTATCCAAAACCTCATGAGGGGGCAGCCAATTCTCAGGTTATTTACATCTCGCCTTGCCTTTCTTGACAGTGCAGTGAAGAAGGTAGCAGACTGCATACATGTCATGATATAGCTAAGTCAGACTATATATACTATATTTACCCCATAGAAAGACAAGATTGCTACTTACCTGATGAATGTAACTCTTTTGTGATATCTAAATGGACCGTCTTTCTTTTCTTCCCTTCACAAACAGTTGCCTCCTTCCTTGACCTCATCTCAGTCTCCTTCCTTCCTTCCTTCCTTCCTTCCTTCCTTCCTTCCTTCCTTCCTTCCTTCCTTCCTTCCTTCCTTCCTTCCTTCCTTCCTTCCTTCCTTTCTTTTTAATATGATTCTTCATCTGGAGAGTGGTTTATGTGACAGAATGTTTGGTATATGCCAGGGGTGTCAAACTGCTGGCCCGCAGGTTTGACACGTCACCAGGAAACCATGCCTACCTCGTTGCCGGCAATGGAGAAAAAGCTCTGATACGTCGTGCAACGTCATATGACATCACGAGTTTGACATGTCTGATATATGCATATGAATTTGTTTTATAGTCTATTAATTTTAGAAAGTTACTCATTCAGTAGTCCCAGTTTTGACTATTTCTGGAATGTGATTTTTTTTTTTTGTCCATCACATATTCAAGCCTGTAAAACACTCATATTTATTGGCAATGTGAAAAAATTCCAGCTAGTGAGTTAACCTGGTTTAAATGTAAATCCTAGGCACAAAATTTTGTCCAGAATTATATTTTTCTATCTACTTATTTTGAAAATTGGTAACCTTGGGAAACCTTGTCTTCAATTCAGGATTATCTTCCTTTGGGTAAATACAGTAGATATTGTTATCTTCACTATTTAAGATACATAACTGCTTTTGTGCTTTTTAAATGAGCTGTCATACAGAAACTTTTGGCTCCACTCACATCTAGTTCAAGGTAAAGTGATTAGCATATTCTTCAGATTAAAAGTACTCTTTCTCTTTTTCATTCTCCTTTGCATATAAGGAGAAATTTCTAGTTATATAATTTATAATTATGCTTGTATCTAGATTGAAAACAATGAATGGCATAAACAACCAGTTGCTCTTCATTGGAATGTGATGAATTGCAGCTTATTAACAGGGATGTTATTTGAAGTTGTACTAATAATGTCATTAGGTTTCCTATAATAAAAGTATTGATTTTGTTTTTCTCCAATTGAATAACTTGTTCCAAAGGTACATTTTTAGCTTCTGATAAAATTGTCAGCTAGCTATAGAGAGAAATTTAGATAGGGTCTTTTTTTTTACATTTTTCTATCAGTCTTGGAACAGAATACCGGTAGTTTAATTTCTTTGCTTAATATCCTAATTTACAGGTAATTAAAATTTATACAAAGGTGGTGCAATATCTTTAATACTCTGATTTTTGGAGTGTGTGTATATAGTATGAACATAGTACATGGTCACCATATCCTCTTAGTTGCCCTTAAATTAAAAACCATTAACATTGTGTCAATTTTGTACTACTATCATATGCATAAATACGTTAAAGACGCATGTCTATTGGCAAATCTGCTTGCTTACAGTGTATGTTAATACACCATTTGAAGTACATTACAAACTAATTCTTTGTCAGGATTGCTCTATCCATAACTAAGTGTATTAAAAGTAATCTAATTTATGTGTTTCCTTCAACTGCTATAAATGAATGAGTAGCTGTTCATTGCAACATAAACTTGGGAATTCAGACATTTGCTTATTTATCAATGTAATTGGAATTTGGTTAAATCAAATTATTTCACTTCCTAGAATTTATTTAACAATTCACCTATACACATTTATATAATTGTACACTCCCAAATTTTATTTAACCTGGAATTTTGTTGACATAGGTGTCAGATTTGAAGTAATGTTTAAGATTTCTGAAAATTGATATATTGCAAGTATCTTGCACTGTAAGAATGCAACAGTTCATGCTCTGTTTTACAATAAACCAGAGAATGTCTTCTTTCAGCATGTTATTTTTCTATGTTGATAATTAATTTTTTTTAGATTTTTATTTAGAAGATTTAAAAGTAAATCTGAACTGTGTAATTTGCAATACTGAAGCATGTTCAGATAGATAGTAGTTTAAAGATGGTTGATTTAGAATGAAAAACGTTGAAATGTTTGCTGGCTTCAAAAATATTGAAATATTAATAATAAATATAGTGTGCAAAAATGTGAAACTATCTGTGAAAATACATAATTAATCTGGATGTTCTTTAATAATTACGCAATGTGTGGCATATTTCTACCATAAAGCCTTTTTCAAGAGTTAACTACTGAATTTAGATAATAACCTCATCCGAGATTCTTTTTGGAAAAGTCATGGCACCTATGTTGTCATAAATTTAGGATCAATTATACTATTGCAGGCCTAACGTTGCAGTATGAATTCTTAAGGCTCAGTCTCGGATCTCCTATATTTAATGGTGCATTTTTTCCTCACTTCATAATTAAATTTCTATTAAGAAGTCACATTTTTGCAATTTAGGAACATTACATACAAATACAGTAGTACAATAACCTAGCAGATAAATACAGAGTAAGCACCATCTGATTATTTATTATTTCCTGATTTGAGTCATATGTTTTGTAGTCGTCGTAATAAGTAAGTGGGGCATAGGTAAAAAGTTCTGATCAAGTTTCCTATTCCTACCTAACATATTTTTACAGAACTATAGTAAACCTAGTAGCTGGAGTCGGTGTAGATAGAATGTAGTTGAACATGATTACATTAAAAAAAGGACTAGGTAGGATTGGATATGGTTAGCGCTTGATGAGAAATTGTTGCCAGGGAAGTAGCTAATTCAGTGTGTGTACTTCTGACATGGCTATTACTTCATGTTGATGAGATTTTAGGTGTAGGTTTAGCTCTCTGAGGTGATTTGATTCTAAGTATTTATGATACTTTAAAAAATCTGAAATTTTATTGAACATAATTGGCAGTTATTCACATTCTGTAAATTTATCTAAGTGGCAATAAATAACCACCTGGAAGACACTCTGGTTGTAAGAGCTATGTATAATCTACTAAGTGCCCTCAAAACAGTTGATGTACAAGTATTTGCTTTAACTTCAAAGATCAAAATATTAGTAAAATAGCAATAGCTATCTATGAATATTCAATAGTCATTTGTTAGGTAGGGTTTTAATTTCTTCAGTTAAAAACTTTAGACTAAATTTATTTCAGCAACTCAGGGGCTATGAACATGTTGAAAAGTTCTAGATTCATAGCCCATTCTGCCCCTCACCATGATTTGTAATGTCTTTTTTAAATATTTGGTGTTAGGGAATTTCTCAAAGTTGGAAACAGCTAGCAAAAGGAAGAGATGTTTTTCTTGAGGTCTGAGGTGACAAATTGCCTTTGGAGATAACCTCAAGGACTGTAGAATTCTTATGTAGTATTATTTTCTAGGACTAGCCCTTGAAGTATTCTTTCAATTCCAGAATGGAGAAAAAAGAAATCAGGGTAATGAATTTTCTCATTCAGAAAAAGCAAAAAAAAATACTCCGGTGTATTTTCTTTGTTGAGATGCAGTGTGGTAATGGAGAGTGCAATAATTCCAGTATTCTTATCATTGTGGCTTATGAAAAGGTTTCACAACTTTTTGACTAGAATTTGGGTCATTGATATGTTCTGGGAATATTTGTAAATCAAATCTGTCTTTAGCAGTCTTCTAGAAATGTTGGAAACTTTGTAATTGATTTGCTGGATTGAGAAATCAATTCATTGCATTATGCATTAGAATTAGCATGCAATTTTGTAATTTGGTTGCAAGAGTATTGTTTACAGAAAAAAAATGTGTCATTAGGTTAAAAATTAAGGATTTTCAAAACAAATTAAAATTAATGCTGTTCTTAAAGGAAGGGGGTCCAAGAAATAACAGAGCGTTTCAGTAGCACTAATAATATAGCAGCTTTTTCATCATGTAGGCAGACAAAAATTACTTTGCTTTTGAAACTTTTTGGATTCTGACAGAGGAAAGTTTTACATGCTTAGCATTGTTTCCAGTCAGTCAGATAACCTTTTCTTTTTCCATTACAGGGGCGTGAAGCTTTAGAATGGGTGATTGGTGAACTAACTTCAACACGAGACAGTATGAAATCAACAATGGCAGCTGCTTCGATGGAAAACTGATGAACTGTCATAATCTTTATTTTTCCACTGATTTTTTTTTTTGTTATTGTTGTTGCTGAGGCAAATACTCCTTACTTTTTGATATTCACATATAGGCAGGCAGGCAGAGAGAATGAGAGTCTGTTAATTTATAATCAGTTTTACAGGACACTTTTTTTTTTCTGAACACTGAAGCATTTTGGGGACCCACTGCATTATAATTAAGCTTATTTTTATGTTTTTATATGGATTCACGATATAGTTAACTAATTCCCCGCAAGACAGTGACTTCAAATTCAAGCTATTTACATGGATTTCAAACTGAAAGAATGATTGAAATTAGTCTACATAAATACCAAGCTGTGTTTTGATAAAAAGCTATATGAATATACTTTTGAATGTGCTGCTCTTTTTGCTGCTTGAATCTTAGCATTTATTTTTTTTAAGTACAGTTGTAGTTCTTTGGTGAAGTACATAGGTACCAAAAATATGGAGAGTCTGTCAACCTGTGGTAACTATTTATTTGAGGGGTGGGGTGTGGAATGACAGTCCAAAATAGTGTTTTTCAAACTTGAACAACTTTAAGATGTGTAGACTTTAACTCCCAGAATTCTGGGAGTTGAACTCCATATACCTTAAAGTTACCAAGTTGATCCAGAAGAGATATAGAGGCATGCCCTGATTAATTTCCTTAATTTTGCAGCATGGCCTCATTGTTTTAAAGAAGCCTGTTTGGGAATATACCAAGCAGTGCTCCTTGGCAAGTTACATTGTTTGTTGCAGGTTTCTGTGGTATTATTTTTGCATTGTTTGTAGAAGCTGAATAAGAAATGCCAACATTTTACCTCTTTATTTATACTCAAAGCACTGCTAAAAACTACGGGAGCAGATACTTTGCTGGAAGATATTAATCTGAATATTTTCTTGCCAGCTGATATTTAGTGCATAATTTATTTTGAAATGGATTTCTTCTAATCATTTGTGAAAAGTCAACTAATACCTCAGAGGGAAATACTAGAAATAAAAAACTGGTAGAAATAGGTTCATATATTTAGGATAACTTGCTTAGCTCATTATGTCACATCAGGGATTAGAAGGCTGCAAAAAGATTTCTATACCAGTCTGTATTTCACATCCTGCTTTGAGAATTGGGTTTATCAAGTCTATGTATCTTTCACATGTTGTGAAACTCAAAATACTGTTCCTTGGAACCAACAGCCTTCATAAAGTTAGTTCAAATATTGGTTCCAAATTTCAAAATTCAGTGGAATGTTCTTTCTAATACAAATTAGAAATAGTTTTATTAATGAAGACAAACTGCTTTAAGTTATGACAGGAGTCTGTAACTTTACATCTCAGAGAGGATGCAGTAAAAATTGGCTTGAATGTTACAAAGAAGCTTCCATGAAATAGAATTAGTTTTTAGTCATTTTTTAAAGCTACGTTTTGTTTGCATATTATTACATTTCATATAATTTAAGTTTTTATTTTTCTACAAGTAATTCACTAAGGAGTGAAAACCTGCTTTGCGATATTTTCTCTAGAAATTGGAAGCAGGAAACATTTTAAATTGATAGTATATCTGAGTAATTGAATAATTTCAAAGCTTTAAAAAGGGAAGATGTAAGGCACATAATTGTTTTATTTCCAGAGTTGTTTCAGAGAAACACAAGCTGAAGAGTACCTTTACTAGGAAAACTACAATCCTATTCTCTATCCGTATCCGTGCTAAATTCTTTCTGTTGCCAAGGGTTTTCCAGTCTTTAGATTTATCTATACCACCATTTTGCATTTACATTAATTTGTTGGCATTACAATATAATTGAGAGGGAAGCAACACTAATGGCAGGAGTAATTCTTTATGTATGAATGAGACCAACAGGGTCTGTTGTGTCAAAATGTGCAAGATAGTGGATGAAGCATTGCTGTCTTACTGATTTGGATATTTCCTGTGAATGAAGCCTTTCACTAAGAGAAAAGTAAAATATTACTGACATCCACTTCCAGCAACTAATAGTGGCTATATGCAGGTGTCTTTCAGAGTTTATTATCTGCCAGTGTTATCTGCATGTTCAAATGTTTGATTCATACTGTCCATGAATCGATCTGGTCCTTAATTGGTCTTGTAATCTCTTCCTTATTTGCATGTTTTTTGTTTGCATTTAAAAATTCCTCAGTGTAAACGAAGACAAAGCTATGTATCTTGAAAAGATGTAGAAGTATTTGGAATAGATGAAACTGTTTATCCCATGACCAGAGACATCTGTGCAAATTTTATTTTCTACCCGATTGACTATTAAAATAGAAAAATATTGTCTTCCTTGATAATGGGGTCCAGTTCCTAGAATAAAGAAATCTTGATTTTAATAATGAGTAGACTGATTATTGGAAAACATTTAGTTTTATGTTTCGGGCACTAACATCAAAATCTCTGGTTTACGTTCTTTTAATTAATGTAGAAAACTGCCATGATTGCTGAAAGGCAGCAACAACTTTTCAGATAACATTACTGTAGTGAGGGGAAACATTGATGCACTCTGTTCTAGATCTTCATTATTTTGTGATTTGATTGTGAGCTCTATTAAGTGACAAATCATTTGATCTCAAGTGTTAAATCCCATAGATTTCTGAAATTATAAATTAATATGACCCACTTAGAGATGGCAAAAAGTATTGTTTTTCTTTAGGAAAGCAGTCTGTTTTTAGGTCAGTTGTTGAACAGGATAACTATATAATGCTGAGTCCTAAAAAATAGAAAATCACTAGCAAGGGTAGTGAATGTTCTAGAATGAACCACTAAACTCAAGAGTAGTTAGGAGCGCATATTCCTTAATTTTGCATGTCCCACGGTATGAAACCTAAACCAATGGTGGGGGGGACATAAAGTGGTGTTTATATTTAAAACACCAATAAAAGGAAAACAAAACTATTATCTTATTTTTCTCCTAAAAACTAGAAACCATACATTCAGCCCAAGAATGGTAATTCTTATTTCCCTTGAGTTTTATCCTGTCCAGGTCTGTTCGCTCCCAGAAATGTAATTTATAAAAATGGTCCTAGAGATTATAACATTTTAAATGTTATTTTTGTTTATGTGCATATAATAGATAATTGTGTTCAGTTGATAAGACAACACAAACAATACTACAACATTTTTATGAGTTTAATAATCCATAAACTGCAGGTGAATATTATGTAACAGGAAAACAAGCAGAAAAAGAATTATTGCCTTTTTCATTTACAAATGGTTATCCATTAGGGGAGCCAGCATGATGACATAATGACATAAGAAGGTAACTTAAAGAACTTAAAGTTGTGCTTCCTTTTCAAATCATTGCCAGGTACCATTGCAGGTTCAGGAACACAATAAAGAAAACTAAACAACTATGCAATTTTTTTCCTCGTAAGCATCCAGACTTTTGGTGACCTGTATTTTTTTTTTAAGAAAAAGTTATGTAAAAGATAGTAGGAAAAAAGCCAACAATTATTTTGACTTGTTTTCCCAAACACATTGTCTACTTGCAGAGAGAAAGCCTATTTATCTTCTCTTTCATTACCACTGTTTTCTCATTTATAGTGCAAGATAAAATCATCACTGCAGCAATAAGCAGTTTCCGAGTATAATCAAAGGATGAAGCCTTATCATTTTTAAAAATATTATTTTAACACACAATGGCTTTACTCTGTATTCTAAATCCAGTTCCAGGAAGCTCGGCTTTCTTCAATCCTACTTCATGCATTTGATTTTCATTTGTTCCTCCTGTTTTTACCATATTATGATTTTTTTTCTATCTTTGGTCTGGATGAGTTTCTAGGTGAGCACAGCCGTCAGAAAGCAAGATTTAAAACACAGAAGAAAGTCAAGAAAAAAAAGTACAATAATTTTCTTACAAATCTATATCTACAAAGCTTTTTTTTGCAATATCTTCATTTATGGAATGCAAAAAAAAGTCTTCAGTTAGGAGCAAAATCTAAAATGTGAACGTCATTGTCTTAATTTGAATATAGTCATCTCTGTATAAGCAAATTATTATTGTTCTTGACAGCAGCAGGTTCCAGCAAAGGGTTCTTGCTGGTGGGAAAGCTGAGTACCTAATTTCTATAGCAGCTCTCATGAAAGGTTTAGGATTTCCCCAGTCTTCCAGATTAGATTTTGAAAAATAGACATTGGCAAAAAGAATTGGGCTGTATATATGTGGCTTTTTCCTATGGATTCAGCCAAATCAAGTACTTTTGTATCCAATCCATAGTCATTAAAATGGCCGTGCATTTTAATTATTTATCATATCTTCATGCATTTAAAAAGTGTACAGTTCTATACATGCCAATAGGCTTTGAAGCTTAGTGCAGATCACAGCATTGTGATACAAAGTCAGGTTTCCTATTTTTTTCGCTTTTGTCTTAAGGTGAAATGTCTTAAGATTTCATATGTTTCGCTTGTGAATAGCATGGAACTGCAAAAAGACATTTGCTTGACGTTCCTTCCTTGTGACTGGTAGGATAGGATTCTGACCCACCAAGATTCATAGGATTCATCTCACCCAACTAGAATTTATCTAATTCTCTTATTGACTGGAAATTGTGCTGGCTGCCAGATCTAAGTCTGCTGATAGTGTTTTTTTATGTTTCCCACTTTTGGGAAGAATTGACCTTGGAAACAAGAAAGGGAAATCATAGGATTGCAAATAACAATGTAACTTTCAAATAAGTTTTAGCAAGTTCATTTAACTTTGACACACATCATGTGATGATCAGATGTGCTTTCAGAATCAGTACAGTAATCCAAGTCTTTTTTTTTTTCCCCCTCCTGGGGTGTATTTTTCTTTTGAAAGCATGCAATCATGGAACGTTTGGCTTGTGGAATAGCTTTGTCATATTTTCAAACCAATTAGGCACACATTTGTGCAAAGCATTAAAAAACAATCACTTCACAAAGTGGGCCAGTACAAGCTAAATAACCTTCTGTATTGAAGCTGCTCAGGACAAATATTTTGAAAACTTCTTATACAGAGACCTACCGTGAAAGCCTTCAAAGCAGCCAAACTGCTGAAAGAATCTGTGCTTTGGCAAAGGATTAACTAGGGTTTACATTACAAAACAATTTAAGGTAGAGAAGAGAGCCTCAGTTTAATAAAATTCCAGCCAGATGACCATATTCCTACGAATGGATTTGTTTTTTAATTTATGGGACCTTACACTGGAGCTGATTTTGAATTACATAGCATATGCTGATAAGCAATCTCTGAGGGATAATTATAAATAGATATAAGCCCATCAATAAAGAAAAATGGAGAAGGGAAGTAACAGATTTTAATTTATACAATTTCTTCTTCAGTAGGCTTTGCCTTCACAGAAATAAGCTATTTAAATCAGTTCTGACATTTATATTGTGAATATAAGCATAATATAATTATGACGGGTGGTAACGGATCAGAAAAATGGAAAATGTTACAACTGTCTATTCATTTTTCAGTTTGAAGTATGGAATTTTGAAGTAAACATTTTTTTAGTACAAATTAGTAAAACATTATCTATATATGACTGCTGACTACAGATAGACCTCAAGTTACAACCATTCATTTTAGGACTCTTCAAAGAGACTGAAAAAAGTGACTTATGACTGAATCCTTTCCCTTTTGACTGCCTCAGTATCCCCATGGTCATGTGACCAAAGACTCCTGGCAGCCAGTATGACTTTAATGATGGTTGCAGTGTTCTGGGATTGCAGGATCACCATTTGTGACCTGCCCAGCTGGCTTCCAACAAGCAAAGTCAATGGGGGAAACTGGATTTGCTTAACGCTGCATGATTCCCTTAACAACTGGAGCAAAAAAGATTGTAAAATTGGGTGTAACTCACTTAACCTCCTTGCTTAGCAATGGAAATTCCGATCCCAATTTTGGTCATAAGTCGAGGACTACCTGCATTTCTCTTATGCAGCCCAATTCAAAATCTTTAATTCATTCATTTTATTAGAATATCAAATATATCTAGGCAACTATCCAACTATTGTCCTAACAATTTCAGGTTAATCTCATGTACCAGAAGTTTTTTTTATTTTGCTAGGAAATAAATTTATATATTTATATAATACTTAATTTTTTGTGTTCTCCTTGGCCCCACATAATCACACAAAAAATGTGAAAACCATAGAAAATCTTTGCCAATAAAGAGGATTTAATAAAATCCTGTAGTATTTTATTAAATTTGATTAACCTATTCTGGCCTACATTTGAAAAGATGGTTTCTGTCAAAAAAAAAAATAACCTATTTTTATTGTGTAATGAGAACTACGTGATACAACTAGAAGAATAGTAGATCAGCTGTGAATGTACAACATGGAAAGATTCTGGGTAACTCAGAGTAATAAGGACTACCAGCTTGATGATAGAACAATACTTTGCTTTCATATTATATATGTGTACATTTTAAGTTAAAGAGAGCAAAGAACCTAAGATAAATTGCTGATTAACAAAAATGATCAGGAATTACCTTGGAGCTTGTCAGTAATCATGTTGCCACAACTTCTAAAATACAGTTTTCAATAAATTTCAAATATCTATCATCTTGTAGGATCATCAAATCTTTCAAGATTTCTTGTATTTTACATGAGATTTTAGTTATTTAATTTTCTAGAATTATTCCTAATATATTTAATATTAGAGTGTTTGGGATATTGCATAATCATGATTCTTTCCTGGAAAGATTGCTGACTTTTATTTTTATTGTTACTTTTTTATATAGTTAGTTCATCACAAGATGTTTGTCATCTACAATTTGTTGTGATAGTTTCTATGGGAGCCTAATATTCACCCCCAAAATAGAGTAATTCGTGATCCTTGGATATTAAATTTAACACTCATCATTTCAGTTAGGTAGTGTTAACAGTAAATTGTTTGGGATATTTAAGGAACAATCAAATCAAAATATTAAAAGTCAGGGATTAAGATGATAGAATAAATTTTGATAGTATATTTCATAAATAAATGTTGGTAATTGGTTGGTAAACTTTTGCCTATTTCGGAAGTGAACTGAGGTGTCACTCATTCCCTTTACAACATAAAAATGAAAATGCAACCTTTTTGCCATCATATTTCATATTTTGATTCTAAAGATAAACTAAGTCATTAAAACATACCAGAGTAATTGTTCCTATCCATAGATGATCTGCAAACAGTTTAAATGAGCTGCTATATATATAAAAATAATCCAATTCCATACTAAGCGCCAGTCTTGTTTAAAAAATCTGATATAAAACAGTGCAAAAATGTGATGTTCAGTAGTATTTTAACTTGAAAACATTCAGTGTTTCTCCAACCTTTTGAAAACTAGGAAACAAAAACACTTCTTAATCCGAGACACATTGTCCCAAATTTTTTCAAGAAAAAAATCTTTACAGCCAAGATACATACCCCTGTAAAAATGGGATTAATAATAGACATGCTCCCATAGTCTTGGTTATAGCAGTACTTATGTATTGCTCTATAAAACAAATATACATTATTTATCTTACTTTCTCAGGATTATTTCCCAGAGAACACTAGTTTACAAAAGTTCATTCATATTAAAAACTAAACTTATATTGCATTCTGCATCTATAAAGGGTTTTGTTTTGTTTATTTATAAAAGCTACAGGTAACACTACCACTGATATTCAGAGTACATTCCAAATAGGAGAAAAAAAATATTATTTTGAACACACTAATTTTATTATAGTATAGCAGAAGCTGCAGGAAAATAATTACCCATTCAGGCTTCCAGCTTATTCAGTATTTTATACTAAGACTGAGACGGTATGGATTGATCAATCATTTCCAGCATATTAACAAATCCTTCTTAATCTTGTGCTATAAGATATCAAGTTCTGTACAATAGGGGACTAGGTATGTCAAGTAACAAAATATGACTAATATTTAATTGGTAGCAAATGCCAATATGGTTTACAAATGTACTAACAGCATAATCTAGTTTTTCTTTAGTTCTATCTACATATATATATACATACATAGACACTCATCTTAAAAATAATTAAGGGATAAATAGGGAAAAATACAAGTAAAGACTTTCTTTGTACACTGAACATATACAAGTAGACAACAATCTAATATAGTTGCTTTCTCCAGTAAAACAAATGTATTCGCTGGCCTGATGGGTAGGACAATTTCTGATTTTTTTTGTAAATTATATAAAGCAGGGAAACCAATAAGCTAATAAAAATATAAATGATCAAGTAAAACAAAGGAAAGAATGATGCTCTGGTTTGATGAGTTTTCTCAGTATCTCATGAAGAGTAAATACTGTAAAGAAAAAGGCACAAGACTCAGATTTCATTGATAGTCCTCTCAGAAGGACAGTATTCTGAAGTGCCTGGAGATGACATGTAGAATGACTGTGTTTTCCTTTTTAATCTGGCTCGTTTGTTAGCCAGAGAGAGGCTGCGGCGGCTTGAATTAATGATTTCCGAAATGAACTTCTTACAGTCCACACACACTTCCATGGTGCTCCAATCCTCCATGAGTTCTTTTGGAAAAAATGCTTCTTCACTTGACTTATCTATAGACTTTGACTTTGAGGACAACCTAAAAGTAAAGGAACAATTCTGATCTCGTTAGTACCACTCCTCTTTCCAATTGTTCTAAAGAGTTTCAGAAACCTTTTCAAGTTTTTCCAGTTCTTAACACCTGGAGTATAGAGAAAGAAGAAACTATACAAATCACCTGAATCACTCCTACAGTTTCCAAAATTGTGCATTTAGTCTTGATACTAATATTAAAGACACTTTATTTAAGCTTCCCTGAGCTTGCCCAGTTGTGTGAGCTTGACATATAGATCACATCATGACTTGCCTATTTGTTACAAAGGCATCTAGGCATCATGAGTCATCTAGATGTAAATGACTAGATCAGTGGTGGCGAACCTATGGCACCGGTGCCAGAGGCGGCACTTGGAGCCCTCTCTGTGGGCACATGTGCCTTTGCCCCAGCCTCGCCTCCCCCCACGACCCCCTTCTCTCCAGCAGCCCCCCTGAAGGAGAATCACCCCTGAGCGTGGCCCACGTGGAGCAGTACAACCAAAGACATGGCAGCCAGGCAGCGTAGACAAGACTCTGCCCTCACACCCCATCGTGCACAGTTGATGCTGCAGGGTGCGGGCAGAGGGCGTGACCGCTATAGCGCTGCTTGGCTGCCTGGGCAATCTGCGGCGGGCCCTGGAGGCGGTGAGTGGCCCTGCGGGCAGGTGGGGTGGGGGATGGGTGGGTAGGGTGGGGGCGGGGCATGGGATGGAGTGGGAGTGGACCAGTTTTGGGGCACTCGGTCTCTAAAAGGTTCGCCATTGCTGGACTAGATAGTGCAGGGAAGGAATAATGGTCATTGTATGTGTTGGCACCAATAATATAAGGAAATATAGTGTAATAGTCTTAAATTTAGGTTGCTAATAACAGATTATAATCCAGGACTATTATACTAGTGTTTTCAGATACAGGACTGACATAGCTCAAGAGTCTTAATTTATATGAGATGATGGTGTCAGGCACAGGGGTTTATACAAGTCAAAAAGGTTTATATATGCACAAAAACTTCCCAAGAAGGATGTCTTGGTTGTCTGCCTTTTTCACAGAACATTATGGTGTGCTTCATAAAACGTTTCTCTGGAAGGTGTTAACAGGAATGGGAAGGGAAGGGAAGACATCTCCTAGGAGTTTGTTAAAATATTACTTTATTTTAAGATAGGGAAAACATTTAGACTGTAACCTCTAGAATTCTTTCTCAGCCTTTAGAAATAACTATTCTCTGGGTCATGTGACTGGGCCAAAGTTAGGGGGGGGGGGAGACTTAGAATTGAAGTGTTGGGAACATTTTGTGTGATTGACCAATTGCCTCTTCCATACTAGGAAGAGAAATTCTAAGGTTTGAATTTATCTGGAATCTTTCTCCATAGTCTCTGCTTAAACCCAGCCATTTTGAACTCAGTATTTCTAGCTTCTTCTCCACCTCTAATTTGAGTAAGTTGCATTAATATTATTAATTTGGAAAGATGAAAGGGGAGAAAGAAGAAAGAAATGAATCTCTGTCTGTCTGTCTTTCTCCCCCATTATTAATTATAAGCATAACTTACCTTGGTATGCCCTTCAGTGACCTGTGATGGCTGATGGGACTTTTTTCAGGCTTCATAAAGCTTTCTCCTTTCTGTAAAGCAGAAGGCCCCAGGGTAAAAATTGGAAGGGTGGAATATGGCTTTGATGGTAGGCGCATCTGTCATAAAGCAAGGGAACAATGGTGAGATATAATTGCCATGAGATTGTAAATGCTATACTATTTATAGCACCCTACTCCAATATATTCTCAACAATACTGTACTTTTATGAATCTTAGTAAAATGCTATGATAACTTGGGCTGCAAGGCGTTCAAACCGGTCAGTCCTAGAGGAGATCAACCCCGACTGCTCTTCAGAAGGCCAGATCCTGAAGTTGAAACTCAAATACTTTGGCCACCTAATGAGAAGGAAGGACTCACTGGAGAAGGGCCTAATGCTGGGAAAGATTGAGGGCAATAGAAGAAAGGGACGACAGAGAATGAGGTGGCTGGATGGAGTCACTGAAGCAGTAGGTGAGAACTTAAATGGACTCCAGAAGATGGTAGAGGACAGGAAGACCTGGAGGAACGTTGTCCATGGGGTCGCGCTGGATTGGACACGACTTTGCAATTAACAACAACAACAACAACAATGATAACAAAGCTTTCATCTATCTTGTAGGTATAATATTCAGAGATCAAGTGCAGACTCTCATATTCACAACTAGTCACTAAAGTTCATTGCATGACATTTGCCCACTAACAATCTCTTTCAAAAAACTCTTATGTTTCTTAGGATAAAACTGGAGAAGGATAAAATTAGAGACGGAATGCTATATATACTATCTTGAATTCCTAAAGAAAAGGTAGAATTTAAAACTAACAGATAAAAACAAAGTATTTAAGGAAACAGAAACAATTTAATAAAACAGATTTTTGTTTTTAAACTTACTTTTTTACAGCACTGTGAACATACAGGCCTATAACATAAAAAAAGATTGGCTTTCTTAGTTCAAAGTAAAATTTGTCTCTGGGGTCTATATTGCATTTTTCCTTATAAAAATATTTTAACAGTTATATACTATTTTTGAATTTCACTGGTTATTTCATTTTTTCAGCATGAATAAAAAAACACAGAAAAAGCCAGAAAACTGACACTGGGTACAGAAGGTTGTGTGCCCTATCTAGATCCATCCCAGCTTCCCACATGGGCTATTAGCTCTCCTGTTCAAACCTAGTCTGCTTCACTAAAGTGATTTAACTTGTAGAAACTCTTTGGAAGTAACGAGGAGAAATCACAAAAGCCAATCTGAGCATGTTTCAAATAGTATAGATTTTGGGTAGCATTTCACAATCTAAAACCAGAAATGGAATGAAAAAAATTTGCTGCAATTCTATTCTCCTAAGAAAATTTAGAAACTGACCAAAGATTTCACTTGAGACTACAGCAGACTCTTATTTCAGAAATGCATGAAGCAAATTTTAAATGTGCCTTATGAAAAATTCAGAGGAGTGTTATTCTTCAGAGCAATATAATAATCCATCTACAGTATACATGCATGCAGTTTGTATACAAGTTTACAAGACCAAGACCGTTAATCTATTTTCTGAGTAAAGATGTCTTTTGCTATTTACTCATCTTATTTTATATTAGCTGGCATGAACATCATACGCCATAATTAACACTGTTAACTGTAAAAGTTTCCCACATGTCTCTAAAAGTGCAAATCTTTAACCTGTTCAAGTTCTCCTTTATTCTCCAAAAATTATCATTCCTCCTTCCTTTCATATGCAAAACTAATAGTAATAAAAATGGTTTAATAAGTACTTCATTTCTATCGTTGTATTATTCAGTAATTTTTAATGACGACCATGTGCTTACCTTTTACAAAATTGACAAGTATAGGACCAAGTGAAGAAAGAAAATCTTCTTGTGCGACAACAAAAACAGAGCTACAAAAATTGGGAATAAGACAGACTATTATGTCTGTAAAAAAATTTCAGCAAATATATATTGCATAGTCAAATAGTTGTACACTTAATTTAATCATTTAATTAAATTTATTAAAATAAGTAGTTTTCCCATTTTTTATAAAATACTCATTAAATGTTTCTATAATCCTTTGATAACTGATATATCATCTTCTATATTAAGCATTTTGAGAGCATAATAGAGAAGCATGCTGACAAAAAAGAACTGGATTCAAACTTATGCTCTGTTGAATTCTACTGGTGTTTGAGAAGGTGAAGTTGGTGATTTATGTACTGATTTTTGATCCTTTTCTTTGAGAATCTTGCCCAGTGCTTTATATATAAAGCTACTCTAGAAAGCTGAATGATGTTCAGAGCAAGATAGGATAAAATCTGCAAAAATCACTGTTGTGCCCCCTATTGAACATTTGTTAAAAGAAGGTGCTCTTCTATTTTCAGAAGAATAAGTCTCAATTTACAGACCTAGTCTTTTCCTTTTGCACAAATATTTGAATCCATCTCTGCAAATTTTAACTTCCTGTGTATGATATATATACAAATTTCTTTTCCATACTCCACTGTCCATATCTATGGAAAATCAACACAATTAGCTGTACCTTTCCCTTCTTTAGGGCAGTATAAACATCTTTGTATTGTTGATACTTCTCTAGTTCTGCCTTCACCAGCACTTGACGGATATGCATGACTTCTTCCACTGTGAGAGCCAGGCATTCCACCGGGTAGCAAAACTCTTCCTGAAAGCGGAAAAAAAAGTGTTTTTCAACTGTCTTTCTCAAAGCATTTCCCAGCTATCCATGTAAAGAGCCAGCCACCAGGTTAGTAATTTTAAAAGAAATAGATTTTACCATCAACACTGAAGAACATTTATATGATCCACAGGTATCAAAATAGCAAAGACTTCAGATATGCAGGCTAAAAAGATTGTCCCTGAAAAATACTTTGATGGTTATTAAGCCAATTATTATGATAGTGTCTTTGATACCTTAAGATCCCTAGAGAAGCCGAAGAAACAGTAATCCAATCCAGAAGAAAATTTTATTCTGTGGTATATTTTAACTTACAGTAAAATTATATGTATTATTTTCTTTACAGAATATTTAAACAAAATTATATTATTATTTTCTTTATAGAATATTTAAACAATTATAACTGCAATTTTGTACACCTTATGCTCCTGTTAGTATGAATATCAGTCTATTACAATTTGTGATAAGTAATACGGTAGTATACAGAAAGTTTTTTTCAGCACTAAAACGCCGTAACAGTTTAATATCTAATTGAATAAATCATCAGAATTGTTGATACCACGGAATAAAAATGCACATCCCAAATTCAGCTCTTTCATAGATTCTTGCCATAGATTTTGTTGAAAGACAGAATTCTTGCCCTAGCTAAATTATATTTTGCAAATAATTTGGTTTGTAAGTTATATAAAATGACATGCTAACTTGATTTTTACTCTGTGAAAGAAAGGCTACAAGGCTGGGAACAAGAGGAAAACAATCAGTAGTCTGCAGCTGAATTAGGACATTCATCAAATCTATGTTGCTTATACTGTAGCTCTTAGGAAAAATAGTACAAATTCATACTATAAACGCAGCGTAATGTAAAATTCAATTAGACCAACAGATACAGTGCTATTTTAAGTAGTTTATAATTCTGTCTTTCAATTAAGAAAAAATTTACAATGCAGAACTAGTAAAGAGGCATACCAGAGCCACCATATTTTAAAGAACAGCTGTCTTACCCATCTAAAAATGGACCTCAAATACAAACTTCATCTTGCTCAAGATGGCTTACAAATTGTGCCTTTTCTATCATTATCTTACTGAATATGATGTGGCTTCAGAGTCAAAATTTAGTGCAGTTTGCTATACTATATTAACCTTAATATTACACTGGAAAATGCTATTTTCCCCCACCACATGCTAAAAGTCTTCATGTTTTATATGCGTTTATAACTTTTTATCTTTTGCTTTCAGTTATATTTATCTACTGCTTTTACAGAATTATCTAGCTTATTTTAAAATATAATTGCTTTAGTCTTTTAAATTCCCAGTGCAAGTGACTGGTCGCTGCTCCAAGATTCAAGACATAAAAGTTGATAGATAATATGATATATATGATTACCCAGAAAAAAAATCAATATGATGGCAGGATTCTTTATATTAAATGTTGATACTCCATAATCCAAAAATGGTTTGTCACTAAAATATTTGAAGGACTGTCGCCTTTGTATGAAGCAATCCACATCTGAACGCCTTGCTCTATCACTGATACTAAATACATGTGGCTATTGATCAATGAAACTCCCTCTCGAAAAAAAAAGCCATTGTCCTTCTTCTTTACTCATAAATATTAAACACTGTAGTTATGTTCAAGTTTTTAAATTATTCGTTTAGATTATTAAACAGTTTGCCTTTTGCTGCTTGTTTCATAACTTTGTTTAAAACACCAATATCCTTTAAATACTGATTAATTATGCTCAGTCTTTAATTTAGAAAAGGTGTGGGGGGAAGAACTAGTCTCTTATCTATTTCCCAATAGTGTTTCTCCCCAAGCTGCAACATGGTCCAAATTCATTAAAGAACTTTCATAACTAAGTAGCTATTCCATCAAGTAAATAATGTATTATTGTACTAATGTAAATAATGGTACCACTGAGAAATTACTAGCTTTTTAATTTATTCATTCATAAAATACCATCAAATTATAAATTCATAGCTTTTTGTCTTAGAAATATTTTTTTTAAATGTGCATCTATAAGGGGCCATATAACATCAGTGTGAAAATGAGAAGTCCTGTTTAGAAATGTTTAGTATAGAGACAGCATGTGAGAGTAAATCTAAGTTGCTGTTCTCTGTCAAACTGGTCAACTCAGCTCTTTCTCCTGGCCTTATTATATGTAATAACCTATTAAATATCAATTAATAATTTTTGCTAATACTTATTACATATTACACTGAAGAATTAAATGTTTCATGTCATAATGGTAAAACTGTAGCTATGAGATAGGATGTATTATTTTCTAACTGCACTCTACTGCTTTGTGTTTCACTATAATAAACAGTAGAGAATTGTATTATTCTGTTTTTGCTGTCATAAAACCTTTTTTGAAAATATGAAAGAAGAATGATCAAAAGGAGAAAACCTGTTTCATCATTTTAGTTTTTATACCTGATACTACAAAACAAAATCTTTTAGCTGAAACTGATTCATGGAATAATTCAGGTAAAATTTGCTAACAGTAGCACTTAGCATTACCAGTTCCATGATAATTTATTCCACTTTAATGAAGAATAAATGGAATCAAATGTACAATTCTGAGAGGAAAACTGTTTTTATGTCAATGGAATACAGCCAAATTTGCAAGACATTACAAGTAATCCATTATTGATGGATCAGGAAGTCAGTTATCAGTTTGAATGCTGCTGAATGTTTTAGTAATATCTGACTCTGCATTCTCAGAATATAGCACACAATCCAGGAAAACCACTTGATAAATATTGTGACATTAAATTAAATTGTGTCTTTAAATCTTGAAGAAATGTTTCATCATGGTCTTCTCAGTATAGCCTCACCGATTCATTATTTTGAATAGCATGTTACCAAAGTGTTTGTTCTCTTACTGAAAGCCCCGCTATACTTCAAACTTGAGCAGATCTGTTTGCAAAGGGATCCCAACATTCGTTCAAAAATAATTGTGCTTGTTGTGTGGATACTGGAGAAAGGAGACAAGCGATAAGGACACTCTTGTTTCAAAACAGGAGTGACCTATATGCCTGGGTGGCTTCATGTATCTGTACATGTGTCTACTAAATCCTTCATATAGGAATAATCCATATTTAAACCTTCAATTATCCAGCCATTCTGGCTATACCTTAAAAACATTTTGAAGTATTACTAGAATTTCACGTTAGACATTTTACAATGAAGACTAGTAGAGAGGAATTCCTTAGAAAATTCTCCAACCTCAAAAAATATTAGGATAGTATTGTTGCTAAGCCTTTTCTTCTAAACCAATATTGTATTGTGGATAATAAACAGATCCTTCCTGATACTGCATATTAGCTGAACTAATGTTTCTTTGTCATTGGAGGCAACTCAAGTAGCTGCTAGTGGGATGGATATAGTAGTTTACCAAGCTAAAATCCTCAGACAGCTCTGAATTAGTTTAACTCCACAAGACTAATATAGGAATAATTTCTATTAAATAACACATAATAAATATATTCATAGTTTTCAAGTGAAGACTACAGTAAAATAAAAACTTTATAATGATAAAACTCAATGCATTTGTTTATTTTTAGTCCAATCCACTGAGAAAAATGCAGTAATGTGTAAAAATGTTCAAAATGTTCAACTATGTTGACATGAATTCATAAATATTCTTAATTGTAAATGCTAATTTTAGCATCTATAAATCTTAATTTAGTTAAGCCAGTGTTTCTCAACCTTGACAATTTTAAGGCATGTGGACTTCAACTCTCAGAATTCCACAGCCAGCATTGCTGTGGAATTCTGGGAGTTGAAGTCCACATGCCTTAAAATTGTCAAGGTTGAGAAACACTGAGTTAAGCCTTCATTTAACATTTGGCATATAGATTTAGCTATATGTAAATACACATTGAAATATTAATTTATAATGTAAAAACTTGGCCAAAACTGACATGTATGATTTTATGATTTAAAACAGGGGTCTCCAACCACCGGTCCGTGGATCAATAATGGGCTGCAGCATGCCAGGAACTGGTCCACAGAAACAAGAAAAGCCCCATCTGCAGGATGCAGGCAGCACACAAAACCATGCCCCATCCAGTCCACGGAAAAAGCTCTCTCCATGTAACCGGTCCCTGGTGCCCAAAAGGTTGGGGACCTCTAATTTAAAATACATTCTTAATTTTTCTAAACTATTTCTCTACTGTTGATATTTGTTTTAACTTCTAAAAAGTTAAGATCATAAAATGCTGCTAATAAACTTCTGATGTTACATTCTAATTTGATTACCTTTCACAGACAATTTCAACTTCTAGGCAAATTGATCAGTGAATCTATGCATGCACAAAAGAGTTCTGCAGGCACCAAAATCAATTTCAATCAGAATCCAGTGAAATCTTAAAAGGTTAATGTCTTGCCACAGCTTAGGAAACTGTCCCCATTTGATGGGAAGGAAAGATTCCTAGGACAGATTTTATGAAGCTCACAGTAGGAGGCAAACCTTTGAGGCTTTCCACTGGTTAAAAACTCTTTCACATAGATAATACACAGTTCTGGCCATTCCAAACAAAGTTGCTTCAAAAGGATGGGAACTAAGATGAGAAGTTGTATGTATGGTTGAAAAAAGGGTCTTCCTTGGAACCTGAACATTAGATAGGAAGTAGAAAAGGGAAGGCTAAACATAAATAAAATATTTGTCTACCATTTTAGATAAAATAACCTCAGCATAGATATTTCTTTCTTTTTTATTAGGAAGTCAGCTCAATATAACCAGAATTAATGTATGATATAATACAAGCTCCTGCTAATTCTGCTGGAAGAAACCATTCAACTTTCTTTTCAGTGGAAATGAGGATTATTTAAAGGTGGGATTTTTTTCACCAGAAGATAAGCAGTGACAATCCATCAATCCTGAGGGAAGGAATGAAGAAGGAGGATGTTAAATTTAACATAGGGTAATATGACCTTATTTATGCCACTTCTTTATACTTTGAGAAACTGCAGGCTTAAAATTGTAATATTAATTTTATATCTTTTTTAAAATATAACTTTAATGGTACTGTTAAATGACAGTGAAAGAGTTGCTCATTGACAATTCACAAATTGTTATAAAATGATTATAGCTTTTCCTAAAAACAAAAAATACATGTGAAATTATCAGTTAATTAATTATCAGAAAGCATAAGCTCAACAGTATATATTTATTTTTGAACAACATAGTATGATTTTTTTTTAATCACCATACTGTATAGCAAGTTCATCCTTGTGAACAAACACAATTACTGGCACAGGACTATATTCTAATTCAGGAATTATCATTGCTTTCTAAAATACAGTATTGCTTTTTTATGTATATTTCAAAGATCCTCCCCCAGTTTCATATTACAGAATCCTCATTTATATGGATATAAAACTCCGTTTAGAAAAAAAGAAGAAAGAAAATGAAAGGAAAAAATGAAAAAAAAATTGTTTTGCCTGATAAACGCAATAGCAAAATGAAAAGCTACAGGAAAAGTATTTTATAGATTATATAAACTATAACATATATTTATTCAAAACCTACTGGCTGTCCCCCCTATATCTGACATATACATATACATACATGCATGCATGCATGCATGTGTATATGTGTACCAGTATGTGTATATATATATATTGTCAGATATGGGGGGACAGCCAGTATTGTATGTATGTATGTATGTATGTATGTATGTATGTATGTATGTATGTATTGAGAATAAAACTTGATCACCAGGAAAAGTTAAAACGTTAAAAGTTTTTATATAAAACAAAAGTTTTAAATACAAAACATTAAAAGTTTTAAAAATAGAGACCTAGCTTTCGTTGGCTGCTGCCAACTTCATCAGGGCGTACATAGATCAATGGGAGTGAACATTTATAGCCAGTATTGTACGTGTGTGTGTGTGTGCATGTGTGTGTGTGTGTGTGTGTGTGTGTATAGAGAGAGAGGGAGGGAGGAAGAAAGAGGAAGGACAGCCTCTATGTATGTAGATTTTGGTGCCAACTTCTGGAAACTATTTAAGCTACAACTTTTTTAGTGGATGTTTGGGCTCCAGCACCAGGTTTGCATATTTTTGACTGTTGGGGTTTTTTATATTTTCAATTTTATCAATATTATTGTTTTTTAATGTTGTGAAATGCTACGAGTCTTTATAGAATTGTGGCAAGATATAAATGTGCTTCATTGAGGGTTCAGTTTCTTCCATATTTGTGGCCCTCATATACATCCAAATGGAAATCTGCAGGGAACTACTAAGAGCTAATAAAACATAAAGTTACAGAATATTACAGTGACATTGGTGGGCAGGTGAGAGAGCTACCAAGTCTAAAACCAATGTAACTTCAGATACTAGAAAATTCTGATACTTTCAGGAAATTTTTGATGTATGCTGAAATTTCAATCATTTCAGTCATTGCCTCCTTGGAATGTGGGAATTTTGACAAATCACTATAGGAGTTTGAATAGGTTCTTCTGCTTTGTGATCATTCATTCTATTTTAAATTTGTTAACACATTATAACTGCCTTTTTTTTAAGGAAACCAATATATAAAATGTTTAAAATAAAGAAATACTTACAAGAAGTCTCCTCATTCTCATAAGACCAAACAACAACAGAATTAGGGGGTTTTCCTTTCAGTACAAGATATAAAATATACGATTATTTCTTATTCAGAAACTTCTGTACTTTTAATTTTTTAATTAACATTGATTACATCCTCCCCATTTGTATGCTATTCCAAGAAACTGATTTAGCGAAGCAAATGCCTTGTGTGATACTGATGCTGTTCTGATTGCTCTTAGGGGCTTATCTTGATCCCCAGTGAGTTCTGGTGGATGGCAGTGCCAACCTTTGTTGTCTGAGTGAAGGATTTTTCTAGCTTGTTCCTCTCAGAACAGATGAGAGGAACAAGTCCAGAATAAATTGTTTCTGAGATCATGCCACACAAACCCTAGGAGAAAGCATCTATAATTTGTTAGTCTGAATTGCTTTTTGAGATAATTAGAATAATTAGAATCATTTATATTATCATGTGGCTTATTTTCTAACAAGCCATAATTATGAAAAATTATGAAAACACAGCCAGTTTAAGTTTTTCAATGGATATTATATTCAGAATTCTTGCTCTACTTTTAATCCCAAAGGCTAAAATAAGAATATAATTGTCAAATAGTATTACTTCTGCTAAAACAAACTTCTGACTTTTGCTTGCAATAATATTGTTAGGACCATTTAAGAAAAAAATGCATGATAGGCAAACAACTTTTAAATTATATGATTTCTTTAAACTAAGATGAGCACATCTATTAGAAATGCCAGATATCTCAAAAATGATAAAGACTTTTTCTCAAATTGGGTCTCCACAAAAAGCAATTTTATGTAATATATATGAACAATTGCTACACAATTTTTTTTATATTTCTAACTGCCTGCATAGCTATACTTCAAACAATTTTCACATGTACAAACCCATTATTCTCCTAAAGTTATTTCTTGGAAAATAATTGCTTTTGTTCTGTACTCTGCATATGGAACTGACAAATGAGTTTAAGATAATCTAGGATCAGAAAGTGAATTCATGTTAGAATCATATGCCAAAATGCATTTAATTTCTTGAGAAAGCAGCTCTGATCTATAAATTAGTGGAGGAATTTGAATTGGCATCCAAATCAGAACCTCTTGAGCCAATGAGGAATAAGAAGGCATTTCATTAAGATCAAATGCACCCCTCTTTCTAAACCTGAATTCTTTCACTCTTTTATCAATTTTAAGAATTCTTTTAACAAAAAAAATGGACCTTTCTTATAAAATACAAGGATTTGGCATTCTGCCAGCTCCTAAAACAGGCATTTTATTCCCTAATGACAATTGTGTTTTATTGAAATCTATTTTCAGATAAAGTCACCTAACTGAATGTGCTGTGTTTTCTTTTGATCCTTAAATAGATTCAATAATACTATATGACTACATGGCATTCTAGGCTCTTTAAATATGAGAAAAACTTGTCATATTAAAAATATGCAAAAACATCAGCCAAAAAATTCATTTTCATGTACCATATAGAAGACATTTTACTTGGAGATTTATTAATTTTGTTAGCAAGTTTATATAAACATCAGTAATTAGACACAACATTCAAATCCAGAATTTAAAAGTTCAGAGTTATTTCATTCTAGATCTTACTTTCAACTTACAGGAAAGAAAATTCAAGAGCTGTTCCAAGGTTTCACAATTTTGAGCTAAGGATTCATCACAACATATTCTTCCCTCAGTGCTGGAACCACTATGTTTGATTCTGCAACCAATGCTGAATTTGATCTACTACAATACTTACAAGTGATCTGGAGCTCTGTTTTGTGGGGGGCAAGAACTGCCGTACGTTGGTTGGTGTTTCCTTCTCAATGGAATGTCGTCGCTGAGGTGGTTGTCTCCTTTCTGGCTGTGGTGTGGATGATATTGGCAAGAATTTTGGAGGCACTGTAAATTTGATAAGGATGAATTAGGTTCAAATTTTGTAAATTAATATTTTAACAGTACCTGTAATAATGTTATACAACTAGAATGAAAGTAGCATTATATCAAATAGCATAGCATAGCATAGCATATCATTATACACACACAAATTTCTATTAATCCATCATGTTTAAAATGTTTCTACTGTTTCAGGAAATCTTATTTGTTTTGAGCATTTGTACTCACCCTTTTTTCTAGATATGGTCTCCAGAAACACCTCTTCCATCTGGGAGGGAGAAACACTACCACTACTGGCTGATTTGTGTATAGACTCCTCCTGGAAATAATAAAAGATGGCAATCAGTTGTCTCCCGTCTCCTTAACTGGGAAGCAATATAAAGGAAAATATAGCATAATGTTTAAAGATGCAGGATATGGAACTATATAAGATTACCTAGTCATATTAATGAAAATGCTTCTAGAAAACAAAATATCACTGTTTCTTCAAACAGCAGAAAATATTATAGAGGCCATATAATAGGCTGATAGCTACTGTATAGGCTTCTTGTCCATATGTGCAAGCTTTATAAACTAAAAGCAATTCAATGGTGCACTATAGATATCAATAGTATTTATGTTAAAGGAGCATTCATACTGGGATTCTGTACAAGCCAAGGGTGAAGTGAGAGCAAAGTAGACCCAATTCAATGTAAAATGTTACCAACATCAGGAACATGACCTAATCCAAGATTATTTATTTCATACAGATGTTTTTTCTAACATCTGCTAGCCAGAACTGGATAGTGACACACAGACTGAATCTGCATTTGACATCACAAAAACAAGCAGCTTTTGCACTCTAATTTTATAATTTGATTTTAATCTTAACAGTAGTCATTAGGATGAATTGCATAAAACCACATTTTGTTCAAAATGATTTCAACACTACTTTTATCAAATGTACAATACAACATTTTAAGCAATGTGACCAATAAAAGCAGTAAATGGAAATGAACCAATTACAAGTAGTCCTCGACTTATGATTGTAATTTAGCCTAGAATTACACCCTGATTTTATGATCATTTTTGCAGTGATCATTAAGCAAATGTGGCAATCGTTAAGTGAATGCATTGGTTGTTAAGTGAACATGGTGTTGATTAAGTGAATCTATTGTCCACAATGGTGTTTTTTGCCAGAAACCAGAAGTAAATGTTATTTTCCGGCAAAAAAAAAATGAGGTCATAAACTGAGGTCATGTGAGTGCAAATATGGATATGGCAAATGATTGTAAATGCAGACTGGCTGCCAAGCACCCAAAATATAATCACTTGACCACAGTGAAACTTCAAATCTGGGTTGTAAGTAATTTTAGGAAGGTCTGTCATAACTTGAATGATTACTAAGTGACCGATTGTAAGTCAAGGATTACCTGTAAAAACCTAAAAATTGAAGGGATGCATTGTTGCTATACATCTTACCTCTGAATCTGAGCTACCCAGTTCAGCCAAAGTGGGAGCTTTCAGAAGTCTCTTCCGCTGCACTGTTAATTTCGTTGTACCTAGGCCATTTACCTTTGCTTTGGATTCCAAACTGCCATTCGCTATACAGCTTTCTAATAGGTTTTGGGAGGCTGCTGATGTGGGTACATCTAGGAAAAGCAGAAAAAGAGCACGAATAAGCACTGCTACTGTGGTATTTATCTTTTCTCCTAAAAATTACAATTATGTAAATGCTATACCAGTGTTGCCTATATACTTTGATATAAAAAAAATATATGGGAAAACATACAGGTAGTCTTTGGTTAACAATGGCGATTTCCATCACTAACTAATGTGGTCATAAAATGTGGGGTCATTTGACTGTATTGTTTAACAACAACAATCCTGGCCTCATTGCCATCACTAAGCAAAGACCTCCTTGCAATTTCCTGCCAGCATTCAAAAAACCAAGTCAGTGGGGAAGCCAGCAGGAAGTTTCAAGTCCCAGGCAGTTTGAAAGCAAGCCAGCAGGCAGGTAAGTGGCTGCTGATAGGCAGGAGAGGCTGTGTGAATGGCCATCGTGGTGAGAATGCAAATGGGGTTCGAGTGCTTGCTGCCAGGCAGGAGAGGATGTGTAGATGGCTGGTAAGGCACAACATGAGGATGGCAGGGTTGAGGGTGGCTGCTACTGGGTGGGATAGACTTACCAGAGTGACTTGCAGCCTTGTCTGCTGGCTTCCACATTTATACTGCTTGTGGGAAGCTGACAGGCAAGTCGCAAATGGTGATCAGGTAACTGCGGAATGCTGCAACTGTTGTGTGACCCTGTTGCCAAGCATCCACATTGCAATCACATGATTGCAAGCATGCTGGGACAGCCAGAACTTTGAAGACTGCTCATAATTTTCACTAATTCAGTACTGTCATAACTTTGAATGATTGCTCTACCAGTGGTTGTTAACCAAGGATACCACATTTGAATATGTATCAATATTGAGTTAACACAGTGTATTTTCTATTACAAATTGATACTAATATAATACATTTGATGTTTGAAATAGTCTTGCCTACATTTTTGAGTAATGGTTTATAGATTTAAAAAACTGAATCAAAGAATTTCTGCTATAGTAATAGTATACACGAATATCCAGGGAAGCATAATAGCATTTATATGGGGATTCAGACAACTTGAGTCATTGAATGAAGTAGCTTCATTTTGTTATTAGCTGAAAGGTATTATCTTATTTTTACCTGATTTCTGATAAACCAGGCAAAAGGAGCACTAAGTATATTGTCTCTTCCTTAGAAATATAATTACAAACAATTAGCAATTCTGCTTTATTGCATTTTTGCTTGTGGAACTGAAAAGACTACAAACAAGGGGAGGCATATGATTTCTGTAGGTGATCTTATGTAATCCTAACTCTTATTGGGCAGAAAGCTCTTAACTCCAGAAGTTCCATAAAAAGGTAACAGAATTGGCATTAAGGCTTTACTAATCCATCACCAATTCCTTCTTTCAAAATGAGATATAAGCTTAAAGCTTGCATGCAAATCAATTTTTAAAATTTAAATTAGCTACTTTTGTTTATTTTAGTAGAAAATATAAGTCCCTTCAAAGTGTCCATATTTTAATTTTATCTATTTCACTATATTTTTGTTTGTACAATCAATCAGGCACTTGAAATGGCTAACATATTTTAGAAATGAAGAGTGACTTGGTTAACACATCTTGGAAAAGTTTTCTCCAAGTTGATCTTGATTCCTAGAGGCTACATTGCACATGCACACAATTTTCTTCATAATTTAATTGCCTTCTTTGGGGGGAGGGGTATTTTTCATCTTCCAGTCCAACCTATACTTACCGGTATTTTGGGGAGATTTGTCATCCAAGGACAAATGACCCATGTTCCACTCAGTTCCTGAGCCCAGAGAGATGAACCAGGTTTCATCAAAATCCAAGTACTCACCTAGCCTGCTACGCCTGACCTCATCAGGTGAAACAGGTCTTAGTTTTCTTTCAGATTTTATTTCTTCCAGAATTCTTTCATGGAGGCTACGTGGCCGTGGTGGTGTTGGCTTCAGTTTTCTTGCAGATGCCTGGAAAGAATAACATATCTCAAAAAATATATATACTGGCATGCTTAAGAGATGTTCATCAAGATACACAGCTTTACCTGAATTAAGTGTCCACTGAAATAAGATAATAAGATAAATTTCTAAGCTACAATTTAAAAATAATAGATTGCTTGCCTACAGTATAACTATGGTTTTTCATGTGATATTGCATATTCACTTCAATAAATTATAACTCTTCTTCAGCCTAAACAATGTCTTAAATATATTACGTTTTAAATGGGGAAAAGCACCTCTTGTCTAGCCACTGCATGTGCAATAGGAGAGATCTTCTGGCTATCTGCTTAATACCTTGAATTGATATCAAAAAGTTCTTTCTTGCAAACCAAAAAAGAGACATGAGAGATGGAGGGAAGGTCATATCAATGCACAGATGATCACTCAAAGAAACACAGTTATGAATAATCAGCTTCTTCACCTTTGTGGTGGAGGTTTTAAGAAGAAACTGGACAACCATTTGTCTGAAATGGTTTCAGGGTTTCCTGCTTGAGCAGGAGGTTGGACTAGAAGATCTCCAAGGTCCCTTCCAATTCTGTTACTCTGTTATTCTGATATATCTGATTCATCCAAATGGGAACACACACACACATACACAAAATCACACTTTCAGATAAGGGACAGATCTTCATGTCAGAATAGATAACAAAACCAATAGGCTAAGAGAAATATCAGCTGTAGCAGAGACATTGAGTTGATGGTGCATAAACTATAAAGGATGCTGAGATGACTGATATGAAACAGCAAAAATACATGAGATTTTATTTCAAAATAATTCCTCTATTGTGTATTTTATATAAATGCATTTGAAGGATGCCAATGCTACAAAATATAAGAAAAAAAGCTGTGTTTCCTGTATTTTAGAAAAGACTGGGAGAAGCAGTGAATATGAAGTAGTTAAAGCAAAAAGATATAGAAAATCTCTTATTTTCATTAACTTTGTTCCCCCCCCCCTTTCCATTGTATTACATACAGGATTTAATGGTGGTCGAGACCGGATAAAGTCCAAGATAATTTCATGGGCACTCTTTTTTAATCGTGGAGGGATATCCCCATTGACCTAAAAAAGAGAAAGAAAAATATCTATTATTTTGCTTGCACAGCAGTATCATGCAATCCAAAAGGGCAATGAATTCTAAAAAATCATAATTGTGGTGATTACTGAAATGGAGTCGATTGACCACCAGGAGGCAGGCACTATGTAACCAGTTTTGTATTATCTGAAACCTGTAAAATATAGCTAGCCAGATGTTACTCTATAGGGTTCAAAAGGTCTTTGGGAATTGAATTAATGGACCTTTGCTCTTTAGATTACTATATATAAAGCATTAGCTTTAGGATTTATCCTGATCCTGTGCTCAATGGTCATAGGAAGAGATACCTAGAACAGGGGTAGGCAACCCAAAACACTCAAAGAGCCACTTGGACCCGTTTCCCATCAAAAACAAAACACTGGGAGCCGCAAAACCCTTTTGATATCTAAAATGAAGATAACACTGCATATATCCTTTTTTACCTTTATTATAGGTGTGTGTGTGTGTATGTGTATATGTGTATATACACACACACACACACACACACACATATACACATTAAAAATAAAAGTAAAAATATGACTCTTGGGAATATCCATACTATTAAAACAATGATCACCAAGAGAATGCTTTAAGAGAATAAAATTACATACACACACAGGTAAAAAAAGGATATATGCAGTGTTATCTTCATTTTAGATGTCAAAAGGGTCTCTCTCTCCCTCCCTCTCTATCTGCCCTTGGTCTGCCACTCCTCTTCCCCCACTCTCTCTCTCCCTCTCTCTCTCTTTCTCTCTCTCTCTTTCTCCCCCCCTCCTATCTGCTGCTCACCTGGCAAGCTTCAAGCTGTTGTCCAACAACCTCCGGGTAGGCAACCTCGTCTCTTTTATGACTCATGGACTTCAACTCCCAGAATTCCTGAGTCAGCCTAGCTGGGCTAGCTAGCTCTCTCCTGCCCTTCCTGCTTCCTGCTTCCTTCACAGACGCAGCAAAGGGAGGAGCTCCGCCCAGAAAGCTTTTCAGCTCCTCGGAGAACACTGTGAGTTCACTCTCTTTTACACACACACACACACACACACAACACACACACACACACAACACACACACACACACAAAAAACACACACACACACAGAGAGAGAGAAGCAGGGAAGTGCAATTGCCTCTCTCTGTCTCTGTCTCTCTCTGCAAAGGCAGAGGAGGCTGGGAGCCACAAGGGAAGGCTCAAAGAGCCGCATGCGGCTCCGGAGCCGCAGGTTGCCGACCTGTGACCTAGAAGCTATCGAAATTTCTTAGTAAATGATTTATAATGTTTATATATACAATGAAACAAAATGAACTTCAATTTTATAAACTAGAACAGTTTGGCAATTTTTGTTAAATCCATATGGTATGATAAAAAAATCTATGCATCTAGTTTTTATCTGCCTAAAGAAATAAGGTCCTTGTTTCTTCCAAATAGCAGATCCTATAACATAGTAACATTTATTGAAGTCTCGTTTCTTCCAAATAGCAGATCCTATAACATAGTAATATTTATTGAAGTCGAGGTGATTTACAAAATAGCTTGTAAAATTAGCTAAGATTCTATTATTCTAAGGGCAAAAATTAAACAAAACAATATAAAACCCCTCCAGAAGGCATTAGTTTTTCAAATTAACTAAAATAGTTTGCTTTTTTCTCCTTTTTGGTAGCCCTAACATAATTTAAGGCTATGCAAAAAATGATAAAATTGATTTTGACAGAGCTTACCATAACTTTTCTTAAAGTGTAGCGCTTGGATCGAATATCATCCATCAACATTTCATATGGAGTGAGCTGATATTCTATGGGAAGAGGATTGTACTGACGTTCTTGAACTTTCTTAAGTTTTACACCATTTCGCAAATCTCTCATAACTTGAACCCAAAACTGGGCCTGAAATAGTTAAGAATAAAAAGTTAATATATATAACAAAGTTTGTATTATTGTATTTGAAGCTCTACTAAACTTAAATACTTATAGGTAAATTCTTGTCATAGCTTCTACATGTATCATGAAGCAAAATGGTGCTTCAGTTTTAAAAGTTAGGGTTTACTTTATTGAATATTGCAACAATTATCTTTTTCCAACTAATTTCCATATATTATTCCATTTTAGATAACACAGTGCCAAATATTTCTTTGTAAGTATGTATGCAGGATAGGAAAGGTTATAAACAAGCAAGCAGTTAACTACATTGTCAGATAACCAAATAATCAGTTGCATGTCTTGAAATTAATAGAGCATCTAGACTCATGTTTCTTAACTTCAATAACAATAAATTCTTCATTTTTTACTTTTTAGAGGAAAAAGATGTAATATTAGCCATGATTTTATAGATTTTTATATGTGCTTCTTTGTATATATTTAATATTTGATATAAATATTTGACACAGATTGTGTTGTCTGGCTATAAGTTTATAATATAAAGACGTTACTTTATGAAAAAAAGTTATTTTACCCAATCAGCAGTTTTTAATTCATCAAGGTCAGTGCTAGATTCTTCATTTCCTTTGTCCATTTCCTGTATTTTCTTTAAATTCTATCAATTAAAAGAAAAAAATATTTGTTTACAATAAGGTCGGTGAAGATATAGCCCTACAGATATTGCTGAACTATAGCTATTAATTCTACCCAGCATGGTCAGTGGTAAAGGATATTATGCGTTATAATTTAGCAACACCTGAAACAACATCAGCACTGTCAGATAAACTCACATTTAAAGAGATTATAATTATCACATGTTTATTTTGGCATTTGTCACTTCCACACAATATTTTGTAACGAACACAATAAAATGAAGATAGTAACACAGGGGTGTCAAACTCGCAACGTCACGTAACATGTTGCGAGTATCGCGACTTTTTCTCCATTGCCGGCAATGGGGTGGGCGCGGTTTGACACTCCTGCAGTAACACATTGATACGAAGGATATAGTGAGAGTGATGAAGGAACAAGAAGGTGAGAAGTGAAAAGCTGAAGGTAGCCTTGAGGAATGGCGTGGCCCTTCACTCTCATTAAAAGAATCAGCTGTCTAGATTGCTGAAGACTACAATCTCAGGATGATGCTATTAAATGCCAGGTTTATCTGTCACAAGGCCATCCTCATCTAGGCTTCAACTGTAGAGAGAGTAAATCTGGCATGGGAGGGAAAGGGAATTTCTTCCTGAGTGAGATGTGTCCACTTCATTTTCAGGGGTTACATCAGTGTTTTTCCAAGACAGAAAAGAGGTGGCACTAGTCCTTTAGGAGATTCTGACGGTAACTGATACTGTTGCAGTAGATAGTCTCTGACAACAAATGTGTCATTAGATGTTAGGGACAAGATGTACCCTTCTCCCAGCTGCAGATAACTGTCTAAGCTATTTGATCGCTGCGTGGGCTGTAACTGATATTCCCAGGCTACTTTGCAGGACAATTTCACTTTTCCTTATCTAGAATGGGTTTGGAGGCTACTTGGGGTTTCATGGTCACCAATGTTTATCCAAATCATTATGGGCCTGACACCCAAAAGAGACCATCTGACATATACCTCAGAGCAATTGAGACATGATTTCATGGTGGGAAAATAAAAAGTAGTCCGCTGATGCAAAGGGCTTCTTGGTTTACTAAGGACTCCAGGAGATGAAGCACCAAAAGAGACCCCTGCAGCAATTTAAATTTGTCATGGGTATGCTTAAGTTTACATCACAGTGGCAAGATAAAGTATTACTATTTCTCCGTAACTATTGTATCTGCAAAATGCCAGCCAGGGGGCCTTGTTTAAAGTAATATTGGGCTACTTCCTCACTGTGGGATTGCTCTTGGAGTCCATGTAGTCCATGTAGAAACCTGGTAGAGATAACGGCAAACCCACAACTCAAAATTCTAGATTACTTGGGGCTGGTATATTTTCAGGACTGCTTATTACAAGTAGAATATGGTTGCCAAAACATGTACAGAATACATGCTAAAAATTCCACACATTCATGTATTTTACCAGCTCTCTTATTACTGGGATAATAATATTATGTTACAGCATTTGTAAGTTGCTTAGATTAGCTTACATTGCAGTTGCATAAAAGCAATAATAAATATTGCATTTGAGAACATCTGATTAGTAATTCTGATTTATATTTGAAAACTTAAAATAATGATTGCCTATAAAAAGTTTATATTTTTTAAAAAAGTATAAAAATACAAAAAAAAATCTTCGGTAATCAATGATACACAAAGTTTAATAAATATAATATTTGATTATTTTTATACTTCATGTTCAACATACATTAATCTTCTTTCACGTCACAGAATGTATTTATATTAAAAACTATTTAAGACCATTTAAAAAGTAAAATCCTAAAAAATATGTTAGTAGTGAAAGAGCCCAGTACCAATATTAACAGATTTATATTATAATTATATGGTGCCACTGAAATCAAAATAAATATAACAAAACGATTGAAGGCAAATAAGGTGCAGGGAGAAGAACATCATGGGTTCAAAATGTAAGGGACTGGTTTGGAGAAAACTCAGCAGCACTTTTTTGTGGAAGAAGAAGAAGGAGAAGGAGAAGGAGAAGGAGAAGGAGAAGGAGAAGGAGAAGGAGAAGGAGAGGAGAGGAGAAGGAGAAGGAGAAGAAGAAGAAGAAGAAGAAGAAGAAGAAGAAGAAGAAGAAGAAGAAGAAGAAGAAGAAGAAGAAGAAGAAGAAGAAGAAGAATAAGAAGAAGAAGAAGAAGAAGAAGAAGAATAAGAAGAAGAAGAAGAAGAAGAAGAAGAAGAAGAAGAAGAAGAAGAAGAAGAAGAAGAAGAAGAAGAAGAAGAAGAAGAAGAAGAAGAAGAAGAAGAAGAAGAAGAAGAAGAAGAAGAAGAAATGTAATTCACCTGACTGGCTTTATTGAGTCTGTTATAAACATGAAAAAGCCTAAAACAAATCAATTCTTCTGTTTAAATATTTCAAAACTTTTAATTATAATCTGTTCATTATTTTTAGTACATTAGATATGATTTATAATGCTTATAAATGAACTCTTGAGTGAATTGGCAAGATAACTCAGGAAAATAGAAATTACAGTATTTGTAATAACAAAAACAATTGTTTTAGAGTATTAATACTAAAGAACAGAAATATATGACATTTTTAAAAGGCAAATAACTAAGTGATTTGTACATTGCTTACCTCTCTAGCACTTTTAATTTTGGCTAAGAATGTGTACAACTCCATTGTTTCAGCAAATAGTGCACGACATACTGCTTGGTAGTGATTTGGTGCATCTGATTGGGTTGGCAGATGGGCAGCGCAAAGCTATGGGAAAAGGTTAGAAAAGCATAATGAGTTTTGTTTTACAGAAAAAATACAAATGCTTCATTTATAATTTAAATATCAGAGAAACGAAATTTTATTTTCAATATCACAAAATATTTTAAACCATATTTGAATTATTCTGCTACCCAAGAAAATAAAAAACAAATGTTGTTTAACCACATATCATCTAGCAATATCTAGAGTTTTTTGCTCAAGAATATATGCATTAATAAAAGCAGTTCATCTAGAATAAATCCTAACAAAACTAAAAAAAACAAACCCATAATTATACTGAAGGCTTGGCAAAGTGAGAATTGCAATAGGAAAAATAAAATAAAACAAGGAGAGGATTATTTCTTTAGATATATATGGCTCAATATGAACTTAACAACATGAACTTTACTTCTCTAGGTACATATGGATCAATGTGTACTTTAACTGCTCCACGGTCAGTATCGGCTCAAAATTTTCATCAAGTTGTTATAAAGCTCGCCAGATTTGTTGTTCACTTTACATTGTTTGCAATTAGTTCCAGATCTTCACTTAATTAAGACATGCTTTAAAGCAGGGGTGAGCAATTAATTTTCCCAATGGGCCACATGAAAAGCTGGGACTGTTGCTGCTTGCCATGAAGTCTCAGCTGTCTTAGTAAGTGCCATCAAGCATTTGTTTGCCTAGTTGCCTCCTCTCCCAGTTTCCAGCGGCAATCTTTTGGGCCCAACTGTCCTGGGCACAGAAGTACCTGCTGTTTTTGCTTTTTTTAAAAAAAATCATTTGCCTTTTTCTGTTGCCTTTGCTGTCTCCTTTCACTCCCTTTACTGCCTCCTTCCACTTCCTTTGCTGCATCCTTTTCACTGCCTTTGTCAGATCCAGATTCTCTGGTGAACATTTCCTATACACATGGCTAAAGCTGCTCTGTCAAAGGGAATGAAAAGAAGGCAGTAACAGCAGCAGCAGGAGGTGGAAATGGCAGTGGAAAGCAGGTGACCAAGGCAGTGAGGTGCTTCTGCTTCAGCCATGGCAGCTGGGCACAAAAGGCGAAAGATCTGGGAGAGAAGGCAACTGGGAGAATGAACACTTGCTGGGCCAACCTGATGTGGCTGAGGCTTCTTAAAGCGTGGCAAGTAGACCCAAAATTGAGTGGTTCTGAGGCTGTTTTCTGGCCCACAGGAGAAGGTGGCTAAAAGGCAAAGACGGGAAGAGACAGAAGGACAGGGGGAGTTGGAAGCAGTTTTTACTTTACTAAGGCTGGAGGCTGGAGGGATCAAATAACCTGCAGATTTTTGGTTAGCTACCTGTAACAAGGATTGCCATCATAGGTTGGTGTGTTCATGTGGTATCTCGCTTTACAATATTACTGACTTATAACAGAAAGATCCAACTTTCCCCAACAGAAAGTTAAATACTACCTATAAAATGCTATAGTGTAATACGGTACAGTATAGTATTGTTTTCTTCAATAAGTCAGAAAACAAAAAACAAACCTGAATTTAAAATGGCATCTGCCAAGAAAGATTATCCTGAAAAATATAATACAGATATTCAAGCACTGTGTAGTTCTTTAGGTGTTCAGTGTTCCACAATAAAAAATGAAAAAGTGCTTCAGTTCACATGTGGAGACAAGCATAGTGCCTATTTGCAAACATTTTCTTATTACACAAGATGGAGAAAAAAGTGGCTTTTCAAACAGGTCTTTAGAATGTTTTATTTTTTAAGAATTTACATATACAGACATCTTCTACTACAAACAATAATGGTTTAAATTCTCTTACAGAGAAAATAGGCATGATTTGAGTAAACAAGAAAGCAAATTATAATTGTTCTTAAAGTTAAAATTTTGCAAGTGCATTTGTGTCATTGTGCTAGGAAGAAGTTTGCAGTCCAGATTTTTGCATAAATATGGAACTGATGGTTGATTGCTGAACACAGTAGGTGCAACATATGATGAAAATAAACCATCTGTCAGAAAGGAATGCTTAGTGACTGGTTGAAAGTTGGGTAGGGATGGGGGAGAGTGTCTCCTTGGTTGTTTAATATATTTGTGAAATGTGTTTGAATATTAGTAGCTCAGAATGGCAGCTGGGCTGTAGGTTTGATCTCCGAACTTGGCGATTTGGCTGCAAACGTTTTGTCTCCATTCGGGGGGGGGACATCTTCAGTGTGCTTTGAAGATGTCCCCCCCGAATGGAGATGAAACATTTGCAGCCAAATCGCCAAGCTCGGAGATCAAACAGCCCCCTAATATATTTGTGGATAAAAGCATAAGGAATATTTGTGGTACACATAAGGAATATTTGCACATAATGGTGTGTTATTGGTTAAGACAATGCTTCACCAATTTTTCCCTTCATTGTCCAAAACTACTTATCATAAAGTATTTTATGCAGTGCAGGTAAAGCCTTTTAAGTCAATTTAAATGTCTCTGTTGTGATTCGATAATGGGGTTGTGTGTCATTACCTAAAGTAAAATTATTTTACCCAAGTCTGAGTAATTTACCCAGGTTAAGAACTTGAATGATTTTGTATAATGTCATGAGGTATGATCAGACAATCAACTAATCAAAGACAAAGAGTTGTATGATGAAAAATAGAGAAAGTAGATGAATATGTGTAGCTTGGTTGAATGTTTAGCAAAGATGGGAAAAAGAAAGGAGAAATTCTAAAATGTGCAAATGTTGATCAAAAGGTTATAAGTAATACCTATGTGATCTGTAATGAATAATGAATATTAAAATGGCTATGTGTAACAGTGCTGCAGTAAGTATTAGGTACGCTAGAGGAAACATTTAAAAAGTTGAATGTGGTGGGAACTGTATACCTAAATATGAATAGTAAAACATGAAGAGCAACTTGTGACTTTCTCATAAATGGGCATATTTTATTTTTTCTAATTGTGGCACAGCCATATAGACAGCAAGTATATCACATGAACCCAAATTCTATGTGCTGCAATCTATGGTATAATATCGTAGAAGGTTTGTTTTGATCAGGTGAAAGTAAACATTTCTTTACCCAAATCTTCTCCTACATAGACATGCATTGGATAGCATATAACCAGGTGGATCTCAACAAGCTAAGCAGTATTTTATCTCTTTGATATTAGTCTATTAAATAGCCTTTAAAGTTGAAAGAAATGTCCTACATTATAGGTAGTCTTTGACTTATGATTATAATGGTGCCTGGAGTTTCTGTTGTAAGTCATGACGGTTATAAGTTGAGGTACTCATGTGATTGGGCCAGATTTTATTACTTTTTTTGCAGCAGTTGTTAAGTGAACACTGTGGATATTAAACAAATGCCAAAGTTGTTAAATGGATCAATATATTCTTATTGGCTTTTTTTGCGGATGCCAGACAAAAAGGTCAGAAACTGGCAAACAATGTCAAAAATTGTAAACATCGGTTCATGGAATGCTGCAATTGGCTACAAAACTGAGGTGGTTGTGCCTGAAATGCAGTCACTGATTATGATGAGGTGTGCAGCTGTCAAACTCTGGAACCAAGTTGTAAGTAGCTTAGAGAGGGGGTGTTGTCATAACTTCAAATAGTTGCCAAGCAACTGATCATTAAGTGTGGAAGAAAGTCACCAAGAATCAATGTTCACTCAAAGGCTATGTTAATAACTATCTAGAGATAGTAACTACTTAAGATGTGAATATTGTATTTTGAAGAAAACTTTCATGCTGAATTAAAGGGTAAATTTACAGTGCTAAATAAATACATTTAAATAAAGGACTATTTACAGAAAAATACTTTTTATATACCCAACTTTGCATATTGCAAAAAAAATTAAATTTTAATCTGACTGAGATAAACAGATCACTCTGGTATGTGTTTATATGAAAATGGAATGTGCTAAGAATGTGTGGGTTGTAGAAGAATATTACATCAATGCAGTGATGAAATTCCCAAGAAGCTTTGCATTGGAATGACTGTAGTAGAAGACAATAGACTCTTGAAAACTGAAATGCAGTAAAAACAAAAACAAAAAAACAGGTGTGTGCTAAGTCATATATCAGATGAAAATAATATTTTAAATTTGAATATACTGTCAGGGTCAACACTATAATATCTAGGTCAACTCTAATATTCTTTATTAGACAACCACAATGTCAGTGCTCTGTCTAAACATAAAAGATGTTGTTTATTTTAACTGTTTCTTAAATATCAACATTGGATAAATAGATTAAAACTATACCTTCATGACATCTCTATAAGACTGTATAACTTCAATATTGCCTTGATGTTCATCATCTATGACTTCATCCAGGGCTTCATAGCCTTCATCTTTGGTCGCATCTGCCTCCACTGTGTTAGTCATATGATCAATCAGTTGCTCCAAGGGAGGGCTGAGCTCTCGCTCTTCATTCTCTTTCAAGCCATAATCCAGTGCTTTATAAATAATAATTCCTAGTGATTCTATAACCTGAAAAGGGATTGTATCAGGTTTTAGGTAAACAGTCATTTTGCAACTTCTATCTTATTTAAGTTATAGTCCAAAATATCTGAAAAGCAAAATACTAGTTTATATTAAATCAATAGTTAAACAAGAAAAAAAAATCTCTTACCATATTAATATTATATAAGGGAAAAACATAATAATTACAATATAATCCAGATGTTAACTAATGAGTTTCTAATATGCAGCTTGCCCCCTACCCCACAAACTATCTTGCTGATGGTACTTTTCAAAATACTGAACTTGAATAAGGTAGATGTGTTTAATTTTAGTTTGTTTGCTTTGAATAACCAGGCTGTAACCAGATTACTTTCAATGTTATGCAAACATTCTTCCTTTGAAGTCTACATGTGGAACTATAGGTATGATAAAGCTCAGTTGAGTAGAACACAGCAAGCTTACTCCACATAATATAGGAGGAGGAAAAATGGGGATGAAAGGGAAAGTTCCAAGAGGGGGGAATGTAGGACAGAATTAGAACCACTAGATGGGAAATGGGACAAACATTCCTCTCATTTTCTTTTTCATATCTACCCCTCCTATTTCTTTGATGTTTGAAAGGGGCTGAAATTTAAATGATAGATTTTAGTTAGTTTAATAAAGTTAATTAACTTTAATGCAGATAATTAGAAAACGAATATAAGGGCTCTGTCTCTCTTTGTTACAGTATATATTTAATAAACAAGTATTAAAAACTAGACCTTTTAATTATATTATGGTCTTTTACTTTCACATCTCATGCTGTAATACAATATCATGCATACCATTCTCCCACACTTAAACAATATAATACAGCATTGTCCATAGACTTGTTGTTTCCCTGAAGTTCTCATATTCATAAATAAAATAACAAAGCCTCAATGCATGTTTTTCCTTGTAAACACTAAAAAAGCTGTCTTGAGCCAAAATTCTTGCCTCCTTAATTTTTCATCAGGGCTATTTATTCCTTCGGCTTGTTTTTTTTTTTAAAAAAAAAAAAACTTCAAAAATCATCTGTCATAGCAAATTATGTTTATCCTGCCATGTGAGAAATTTTCAAAAAATCACGGAACCTTAGATTCTGGTGCCACTTAATATTCTGATTTGCAAACTTCTGAAACTTATCAATCCAAATTGAATGGATTACCAGATAAAAATATAATGCCAATATTAATTAATTCATAGCAATAGTGTAAATTACACTACAAACATACTAAGGAATTAGACTAACAATTCAATGCAGATTATTTTTAAGTCAGGAAATAGATGACTAAAGCATCCATTTTATTAGGTTCTAACAACAGTAAATTACTATAATGCTCCATATAAAAATATTTCATGCATTCCTGTAATAATAGTTTAGACTATTCTAAACTTAATAATGAAAGCAGTTATTTAAGTATATACATTGTTCTCTTTACTAGCACATGACTTTTCTTCAACATTCTTGAGAACATTATGTACAGGTCAGAGAAAACTGCTTCACTCTTCAAACAGAAGGTTTGTTAATTTTCCTATTTGGATATGTGAACTCCTTCAACAAACAAAGAAACCAAATATATTTAAAATTGTAGCTTCACAATTAACCTTTCATGAACTGCATATTGAAAATCTGTTGCCTATATCATTATAATAGAAACAGTTATTTTTTACATTTAATTGCAGCTTTATAAATGTTAACAAATTGGAAAAAATGCAGGTAGATATTTTAAAGTGTCTCATCTAATATTAAGTTCATTGTACCTTGTATTGTTCAATGTCAACAACTACAGAGAAAGAACATTTTGGCTGTTTGATTACACTGGTAATCTTCTAGATGACTGAATTAGTTCACTGCGATATGACTTAGCATTGGATAATAAAGGTATTTAGATTGCTGTTTGCTCCACATTTCAAGACTATAACAAAAAACATGTAGGGCAAACTGTACTGATTCTACAGTTACAGATAAATGTATGAATAAAGCATTACATCTGCATGATTGCAAAGTATTGTGAAATTTAAAAAAATCATGTCAGATTTTGAATAGGTCAAATCAATACGGATATTTTAACTAATTGGGAGCATACTTTTTTGCACGCAACTAATTCTGGATTTAGACTTTCACTAAGATTAAATTAAATGAGATCAGTGAGAGTAGTCCCACTGGTTGAATTGATAAATTGTAGAGAAGTGAGTTCAGGAAAAATGCAGTATCCTTTGTTTGTTTATCTGTCTAATGTTAATATTAATCTGGGAGATTTACAAAAAGCTATTTGATCTTGTACCTTATCTCATAATATTTCCAATGATCTTTACTGAAATCTAAACTTCAGTAATAAGTATAGATAATAATTATAAATCCATTGAATCCACTTTGATATATTTTGGAATAAACATACACTGAATAGAATAGAATAGAATGGAATGGAATGGAATGGAATATAATATAATACAATGGAATGGAATGGAATAGAATAGAATAACAGAGTTGGAAGGGGCCTTGGAGGTCTTCAAGTCCAACCCCCTGCTTAGGCAAGAAACGCTATACCATTTCAGATAAATAACCTAGTTGCATATTATAGGCATGTATGTAGCAGGAGAGAAGTATATTTCAAACCTAAATCCTAAATTAAAAAGTAGCTGAACAAATTAATATAAGGAGCTAGCAGCAATGAAACAAATGATTCCTCTACCTGAGGAACCATCTTACCCCAAAGGGATTGGCCTGCCCCACTCAGTCCTGCAGAAGGGCATGCTGCATATCCCATTAGTCAAACAATTTCAGCTGGTGTGGCTCCCACCCTTTAGAACGTTGTGCCATTGGAGATGAAATCTGCCCCCATTCCCCTGGCCTCAGGAAGGGTCTAAAAACCTGACTCTGCCGACTGGCTTGGAACTGTGATGGGGGCAATCCCCACTGGAGTTGGCTAGTGGATTAAGAACATCCCAACCCCTCCCATTCATGTACTAGTGTAGCAAATTTCTTACTAATTTTAATGTTTTCACATATTCTTGTTTTTATGGTGTTGTAAGCCACCCAGAGTTGCTCGATAGTGAGATGGGCAGCATATAGAATAAACAAACAAACAAACAAACAAATGCCCTTAAAGAGTTTAGGGCAAAAATACTGGCATTACTTGAATTAAGATACACACCTACATACACCCAATATTTAAAGTCTTACCAGAACACTTGTGCTGACTAATTGCATGTAGTCCATATTTGATCATATTCTTGCCATATTTTAAAATAATGTTTTAATCCAAAACATATACCACTCATTCAGGGATTGTTCAAAGTTATGACAGTGTTGAATGAGATGTAGGATGGGTCCTCGTAGTAGTAAATATCACAGTGTACAACAGTTATGCAATTGTAATTTGGGCACTTGGCAACTTTTTATCAATTATGACAGTTGCAGAGTCTGGCAGTCACGTGATTGCCATTTGTGACCTCCACTGCCAACTTCCAATAAGCAAAGTCATTGGGAAAGTCAACAGATTACAAGTGGTGATCATGTCCTTAATGACCATCTGGAATTTGCCTAACAATGGCAACAGCAACTGCCTTTGTAAGTCAACGCAGTCCTGTAACATCATGCTTTATGACTGCAACACTTAGCAATGGAGTTGTCAGTCCCAATTACTGTCATTAAGCAAGGACTCCTTGTACTACTTCCTGACTTTGGCTGTATTCATTGCAGCTAATCGCATTTGGTCAGACTGAAATTATAAATCAGTGTTATTAAAAATATCCCTGAAGCAGAACAATCAGAGCTGTAAGCAAAATCATTATTAATGCTTTTATTTGCTCTCCAGAATTTCAACTGGTGTACAAAGTGGCCAGTTATGGGCAAACTGTATAACTTCTTTCCTATAGACCTCAAAGCATATTGGACGTTTTATGAAATGTCAAACTTTCTGAACTGATCTAGTAAAAGATTTCTACGTGCTTCAACTGTTTTTCTTTCTGCATTAAGAGGGAGGGAGCGAGGACTCTCTGCCTCATGTCTGTGTTACAGAATGCTACTAATTACTAATAGTTGTAACAAAATATATAAGAAATCATGTTATATTTCATATAAATTCTTACCTTTGTTTCAGAAAAATGTGAATGTTTAGATTTACCTAAAAATGTAAAAAGAAAAGTTACTGTCATATTTAAAAGAAAAAACAGTCAATTTAAAAACAAAATTAGAAAATCTCAATTGCATTCTCTCTATGAACCCGATAAAGGCAAGACTGAAATCCCTTTCAAAATGAAAACCATTTTAAGATCATCAGTTCTGAATGCATACATACTCATTTACTTTGTAATTATACACATAACAAATACATGAACAGACACCATTTAAGTGCCATGTGCTTTTTTTTTTCCTTTTGGCTTTAAGGTCCATGTCTATTTCCTTAAGAGTAAGGCCCATTAAACTCAGCACCCTCTAAGCACAGGACAAACACATTCTGCTGGTTTTGGTTATTCAACATGTTCCTATGACTTTGTCTCCATCTTATCTTCAGCACACATCAAAGACAGCTTAGAGTCATTTTTAACTGCTTGTTTTAAAATAGTGTTTTTCCTCTTTTGTTAAAATATGTTTGGCCATATTAACAATGTAGTTAGTGACATGGGCAATAGTTGAAACCTATCTATTTATACTGGCCTCTCTAGGCTTTGACAGCTATGCCCTGCTACCTCTGTCCCTGCATACTGTTTTCCATTCTGCTTTTGGATTGGCAGTTGAGTTCTTTCAAGCAGCGCTCTTCCCATGTTCTTCCCAGGTTTCTGAAACTGAACCCCCAAATAGACTCCTGGATCAGCCTGAGCTGAAGCTGACTACAACAGGAGAGGTAAATATGCACAGAAAGCCATCTCTTTCACACTAATTCAGGGTGCAACTCCCCCATATTTGCCACTTATTAATTAATACTAAATTTACTTGTTGACTGGAAAAGATGATTATTTACCTGTCAGGCCTCTGAACACATTGATCAGCTTTAAGGGACTAGAAATGTATTGGGTAAAGAGCTGCCTATTTCAATTTGCAAGCATCCTTCAGCCAAAGATGAGGGAATCAACAATTTTCCAAAGCACCAAGAGAGAGAGAGAGAGAGAGAGAGAGAGAGAGAGAGAGAGAGAGAGAGAGAGAGAGAGGGAGGGAGGGAGGGAGGGGGAGAGGAGAGAGAGAGAGAGAGAGAGAGAGAGAGAGAGAGAGAGAGAGAGAGAGGAACAATGGATGGAAACTAAGGAGAAAAGCAACTTAGAACTAAGGAGAACTAAGAACTAACTAAATCTAGAACTAAAAAGAATTACCTAACAGTGAGAGCAATCAACCAATGTAACAGCTTGCCTTTAGAGGTTGTGGGTGCGCCATCATTGGAGGCTTTCAAAAAGAGACTAGAAATTTATCTGAAATGGTATAGGATCTCCTGCTTAGGTAGGGGGTTGGATTAGAAGATCTTCAAGGTCCCTTCTATTATTCTATGTAGTCCCTCCACCCCCCAAAAAGCTTGGGGGAAATAGTGATTTGAAATCAGAGAATCTTGTTTTACCATATAGCTCTCTCAAAAAAATGTCACCAGTTTTTCAGGCCTACTTTTAAATTCAGAAGTTCGCCCTCACTTTCCCAAACTACTCCTCTGATGCTCATTTGCTATTTTAGGAACTGGCTCACAGTGATTGGTGGGTTGATTTGTTTCTTCTAACTCCTGCTGGGTGTTTATTTTCCAGGTCTTCAATCTGTGGCTGACTGAAAGGGTGGAGAAGGACTGCAGGAGAAAAGGGTGGAGAAACCCAGCTCCTGATTTGAGGAATAAGGAAAAAATATCCAATAAAACAGAAGCGCCTCTGTTGTTTTACCAGGCAGTTTTAGAGATGTAATGAAAACCAAGAGCCTGTACTGCAGAGGTGGAGGAGGACTGTTGAGTAAAGCAGAAAATATTCTTCTGCTTTGCTGGGCAGGCCTACTCACCTTGCAGATCAATTCTCTTTGCACTAAGTTTTGATAGATGGCTAAACCTATGATCTAGCCACGTGTTAAAACTTGGTTTCTTCCAATGATAGCCCTTGCCCAAGATGGAGGAAACAGTTGATGGGTGTTTTTTCTGCCTGTAACACTCATCATGAAAGGAAACTAAGCTGGGGAAATCCACCAATAGTCTGACAGACTTTAACATTTCTGGCAGAACATAAGGCCTTTCTGGCAGAATGCAAACTCATCCCGTCCTTCAGAAACATAGATAGCTAATAGGGAATACAGGTAATCCTAGACTTGTAACCAATCATACTGTTCAAAGTTACAACAGATCCCCCCCCCCAAAAAAGGTACTTATGATTTGGTTCCAAAGTTCTATTTTGGGCATTCAGCATTTACAGACCATTTGCAGCATCCTGTGGTCACATCCTACGTGGACCCCAATTTTTGCTGAAAACAGGTGGTTGCTTCTGGCTTTCAGCAAAAATGCCCCATAGCTCCAAACAATAGATTCATTTAACAATGGCAGTGTTTGCTTAACAATTGCCACAAAGAAAGGTTTTAAAATCAGGTCAGGCACTTGATGTCCCAGTTTATGACCGTCATAACTTACAAATGAAATTGGCAGGTTTCATTACAATCATAAATTGAAGACTACTTATATATTTGTTGCCTTTAAACTATTTATTGTATGAATAATTTTTGCGATAATAATTTTGGAAAGCTAATTTAGTTTAGTGATTAAGCACCAAGCTAGAAACTAGGGAGCTATGAGTTCTATTTCTGTTTTAGGCATAAATGCCAGCTAGGTGACTTTGGGTGAGTCACTCTCTCTCAGCCCAGCCTATCTCACAGGGTTGTTGTTGTGGGGAAAATAGGAGAAGGAAGCAGTATTAAGTATGTCCGCTGCCTTGAGTTATCTATAAAAATAAAAAGGTAGGATAAAAATAAATACATTTGTGTACTTGTTCTGCTTTTCTATCATTTATTTATAGCTTGCAATAATTTATTCTGTTTTACTTTCAAACACAACCAGCTTGATATTTGATAAATAAATTCATCCTTTCAGATGCACTTGGGTCTTTCTTATTACATCTAGTAGGAAAATGTCCAAGCTGGGATTGTATTTGCTGTTTTAAGAAAAGATGGTCCCAAACTTATTAAATAGGACTGTAGTGAAAGCATTGGTTAAAAAAAATGAATCCAGAAGATTTAAATAATTATTGGTCAATATAGACTTCCAGATCAAGATGTTTGAATATGGTGGGTGATAGGTGATCAGATTTGATTTTGGGGGAGGAAAATGGATTTTCTAGATCCATTTCCTTCAGAGTTTATGCCTGATTTTGGCAACAAAACCATGCTAGGCATATATAACCCTGGATCTCAACAGCTTTTGATATAATTGTTTATGGTATCTTTCCACAGAGGTTATCTCATCTAGGTGCCTTATTGGGATGACTCCCCTGGACACTTCCCCAGATACCTCTCCAGATGTCAGCTTGGAGGAGGATGAACCAGTTCCCAGCAGGTCTGGAATGGAGTTAGTCAATGGCTCCAAGCAGCCATCTGAGAGGGATTTAGCTGAAGCATAGCTGCAACAGGATAGTCCTGAGGCTTCAGATGGGGAAAGCATGCAGCTGCACCTAGTCCGTGATTAGGAAGAGGAAGTGCCTTCATCTGATCTGAGAACACGTAAGGCAGAGAAAAGGCAGGAGCAGAGAAGGTCAGCCAGATTACTCGTGAGGAGAAAGTCTCAACCTCCTTGATGGGCTGTACCAGAAGCTGGCTATTTAGAACAACAGATAGATGGAGGTGTTGCTGGGAATAATGTGTTCATTTCCTTGCTGTGTGTTCTTGCCTTGAACTTCGGATTGTGTCTCTTCAACTGTTGCCTTTGCCTGTGGATTTGCCTTTGTCTTGGAATTTGTCTTTGCCTAATAGATTGGACTTGCCTTGCCTTGCCTTGAGGACTAGTGTTGGCTTCATTTGAGTAGCCTGTGGAACTCATTGGGTTGAGCTGATGCCGGCACAGGGAATTGCTGGGGAATACAATTCAGGCTTGGAAGCCTTGATAAAGACTCCTTACATCCATGGTGTGTGTATGTGTGCATGAGTGGTACAGCACATTTATACCAAGCTTTACAGCCTGGCTGGGAGGAAGGGGGGAGAGGGGATAGTTCCGTATGAGCGGTGGGGAAGTGCATGTGCCTGCAGCTTCATCTGCATAAGTGGCGGGCATACACACCCACCATTCACATAAATGGGGTGCATGTACACTTGCCTGCTGCTTGTGCAAGTGGGGATGTGTGCATGCCTGCCTGCTGCTTGTGCAAGTGAGGAAGCATGCGCATGCATGGTTCCGAAGGGCTCAAGGCCCAGTAGTGGGCTGCTACCCAGGGGTTGAGGACCTCTACCTTATAACAAGACAATGACATTTAAGCAGAATGATACTTTTTACTCCTCTCATATATAACCCAGCAGAAATAAGTAAGTGGTGTGTCTAATGAAAAGCTGCATATTATATATACTAGACAACCCATAATCTGTTGGATCATCATTTCAGAGATATTTTTATCACATTCCTCAATGCCTTCAACAATAGTAGAGCTTCTAATGTACTGGAAAATTTATTTAAAATTCAGGGGGATATTCAGAGATGTATCTGCCTTGAAATTAGCCCATGTTGAATTGCTCAACAAAGTCAAGTATCAGGAATTGAGCACAAAAAACATTTTATAACATTTTGCATTATGTCATAAAATGCTTTATAATAATTTCTGTCATGTTTTATAAAATTTGCCAAATTTCAATTCCACAGGAGTCATGGATCTCAGATTTTAGATGCATTCTGTAAGTATTAGCCCATTTGAAGAACCTTGGTTGAAAATATTTTCACTGATGATGCACCATTTTGCCCAGTTAAAGGTTATAGTATAGGCACAAGAGTTTTAGTAGTAAATAGATAAATTACTTTAAAATGGCCTAAAAAAAATCTATTTTTTTTTCCTGGGAAGAAAGGTAAAAACAAAACCCTCACCTTCATCTCTGAGGGATAAGGTGTTGATATCTGACACTATTCTGAACTTCTGAGGTAAGCATTTCTAAAACTCACTATAATCTATGGATAATCCCTCAATTTCTTCCCAAGTCAAA